GTCACATGGTCTTCAGTCCCTCCCACAACATAGAGCTAAGGAAAACTGCATACCAGTGCACAAATATACAGTATAGTAAGCAATATGAATTATATACAAAACAAATACTTAGTATAGGAGGCTTGTAGAAGATTTCTATTTCCAACAAATAGCGCTTTTAGCCAAAACTGACATCGCTGCCATTTCATTTTCCCAGCTCTTCAGAAACCCAGAGAGATAACCAACTTTGCCATGCAGCCCAGGATCTTCAGTAGTGGTCATCATGCCAACCATTTAGCTATTTCCACACTCTAAAGATATTCATTATTCATGTAATACAGTCCTGACCAAAATCAATAGATTAATTGATTGTTATTTACTTATTGTTATTGGCTATTAAGTCACGTTTATTTTGTGGCAGCTGTATAAATGAGACCCCCTGAGCCCTGGTCCTCAAATACCTTGCAATCTCAGAGCTATGGTATCCCTCTTTTTCTACTGCCTCACGCTTTGCCAAGCATTATTGGGGGTTTTTTTCCAGTGTATCACATCATCTCAAGTTAAATTCAAAGTAAGAAATTCTCATTCTGCTTTCAGTTAAGAATTCAGGCTTGATTTTTTTTGTAAGATCTATTCAGTTGTCTTTTTAGTAGTCCACGGTGTCCATAGACTTTCTACAACACTACAAGTAGAGTTGTAGTGTTGTAGTCCCTTCCAAGATATAAGACCCACAAGTTAGGATACCACCTGTCTGAGGTGGAATTCTCTTGCTGTTGAAGTTAGGCTTTGGTAATTCTGCTGCCCCTCTTGCAGGAAATTCGCCATATGTCATTTTTTTTTCATCCAAACTTTTTTTGAGTTAGTGACTGTTATTTACTTACTTACTTAGGCGATCCCTCGTTGGCCAAGTAGGATTGTCTTCCAGGATCAGTATTCTTGTGGGTCCGTAGGTGGCTGTGGAGCCCTATTCTTGATCTGCATCTTCTCCCACAGTGAGGGCATTGGTTTCCAGGTGGAAGGCAGTCCTGGTTGGGGTTGGTTTGACGTGCCTTCCTCTTGACACGTTTCTCTTTCACCCTCCATTTGTGCCTCTTCAAATTCTGCAGCACTGCTGGTCACAGCTGACCTCCTGCTGGAGCGCTCAAGGGCCAGGGCTTCCCAGTTCTCAGTGTCTATTCCAGAGTTTTTAAGGTTGGCTTTGAGCCCATCTTTAAATCTCTTTTCCTGTCCACCAACATTGCGTTTTCTGTTCTTGAGTTTGGAGTAGAGCAACTGCTTTGGGAGATGGTGGTTGGGCATCCGGACAACGTGGCCGGTCCAGCGGAGTTGATGGCGGAGGACATCGCTTCAATGATGGTGGTCTTTACCTGTTCCAGCACGCTAACATTTGTCCGCCTGTCCTCCCAAGAGATTTGCAGGATTTTCCGGAGGCAGCACTGATGGAATCGTTCCAGGAGTTGCATGTGACCTCTGTAGACTGTCCACGTTTTGCAGGCGTATAGCAGGGTTGGGAGGACAATAGCTTTATAAACAAGCACCTTGGTATCCCTACAGATGCCCTGGTCCTCAAACACTCTCTGCTTCATTCGGAAAAATGCTGCACTCGCAGAGCTCAGACAGTGTTGTATTTCGGTGTCGATGTTGACTTTGGTGGAGAGGTGGCTGCCAAGGTAGCAGAAATGGTCAACGTTTTCTAATGTTACACCATTAAGTTGTATCTCTGGCATTGGAAAGGGGTTGGCTGGTGACTGCTGGAACAGCACTTTGGTTTTCTCGATGTTCAATGACAGGCCGAGCTTCTCGTATGCTTCTGCAAAGGTGTTTAGAGTGGCTTGTAGATCTTCTGTTATGTCTTTACTGATGTTGATCATTTTAAAAACCTGTTTTCCTATTGACATTAATGTCTTTGATAGCTTAGAGCAGGGGTCCTCAAAGTAAGGCCCGGGGGCAGATACGGCCCTCCAAGGTCATTTACCCAACCCCTCAGTCAGGATCAACCTAAGTCTGAAACAACTTGAAAGCACACAACAACAACAACAATCCTATTTCATCAACCAAAAACAGGCCCACACTTTCCAATGAAATACTTACAAGTTTATATTTGTTAAAATTGTTCTTCCTTTTAATTATTGTATTGTGTTAAAGGGTTTTTTTGCACTACAAATAAGATATGTGCAGTGTGCATAGGAATTCAATATATATATTTTTCAAATTATAATCATCCCCTGCAACAGTTTGAGAGACTGTGACATGGCCCTCTGTTTAAAAAGTTTGAGGACCCCTGTCATAGGGTATTGAACATTATTAGCTTTTTTAAAAAGTAGGGGGCACTCTTACAATTGGGTATTGTATGCTGAAGACAGAGTAAGAAATTCATCTGACACATTGTTGGCTTTGTTTGCAATATTGTGATTGCCCTTCCAGGATTCTGAATTTCTCACTCCGCTTGGCTACTCTAGACACTTCAGTGCTTCACCTCTTGTGTCTTAAAGCACTGGTAATGAAAGGGGAAGAAGGAGAAGGAAAACACAATCTAAGTAATCTGTTAGACCTTTAATTAAAGATCTAGAGTATTTATCGGGGGAAATTTCATTCCAATTATGAAAAGAGGAGGTACTTAATTGCTTAATAGCTATAGAGTAATTGCAGTGCTTTTGCAGGTTTTATGCAAATGCTGAACAAAGAAAAATGTCACTCACATACATATGGATTACACTATGTAACCCAATTTTTGTTCCTGGGATATAAATGTCATTTCCTAATTGGGCCTATCATGAAAACATGTAAAAACTTTATTAAATTACAAAAACTTTGTTTTTGCGGGACATCCTGCAACATATTTTGCTATAGTTTTTCAATTAATATATCATCGAGTCTCAACCAATTCAACATAGTTTATGGCAGCCGCAAAAAGGACGTTTCTGGAGTGTAACAACTTCTTTCAAAGTAAGTACTTCACAATTGAACAGGAATAACACTTTTAAACCAGGAACAGATTTTTTCTATTTTTTTACATAGTGTTATTGGTATAGCAGTGACTACGGTATGTGTATATGTATGTGCCCCCGGTGGCACAGTGGGTTAAAGCACTGAGCTGCTGAGCTTGTTGACCAAAAGGTCACAGGTTCGATTCCAGTGAGCTTCCGCTGTCAGCCCTAGCTTCGGCCAACCTAGCATTTCGAAAACATGCAAATGTGAGTAGATCAATATGTACCACTCCGGCGGGAAGGTAACGGCGCTCCATGCGGTCATGCTGGCCACATGACCTTGGAGGTGTCTATGGACAACACTGGCTCTTTTGCTTAGAAATGGAGATGAGCACCACACCCCAGAGTCAGACATGACTGGACTTAATGTCAGGGGACAACCTTTACCTTATGTGCCTTCACAATGCCTGTTAACTTATGCTGTGTTGTGTATAATTTAGAGAATATACCTCACTCAGAGACTGCATTTCAGCATGAGAGAGGGCTGTGTTCACTGAATCCTGGAAACATTGTCTTGAATACAAGTAGATTTTTGCATGTGTAGCAGTCCTGAGTCGCAGACTACACTTCATTAAGTATATAAAGGAATATATGTAATTATTCTGTAGAACTGCCAGGCTGGACAGAAAATCAATGTTGGAGCAGATATGCTGAAAGTGGTGTCCCGACTATATACCAGAATGCAACATTGTGACTTGGTGATTCTCCCATCCAATGGCAGTGGGCAAAGTGGAGAAGAAAGAATGTGTCACAAAGCCACTTCGAATATAATGCTGGCTCCATGCATGGCATCACACAGCCTCCCTTAGTCCTGAACTTCATGTGCAAGGTGCAGGCCCGTAGCTGTGGGGGGGGGGGGGGGGGAGGGGGGGGGGGCTTGAGGGGCTTCAGTCCTCCCCCCCAAAAAATTCTCAGGGTGGTCCGTGAGAAGGCCTTACTGGTACATTATTTAAGCTGTTATGTTTATTCATATCATGATCAGATCACCATGCTAATATATCTCATATGCATGGGGTTATTAGGATAATGATACAAAAGGTTTTCTAGGGTAGATCCTCACCCCCCCCCCCCCCCCCCGAATCAAAATCCTGGCTACGGGCCTGGCTAGGTGTGAACATTTGCAGAAGGAAAGCCTACATATGCAGGATTGTGTTGTGGCCTTAGCCTCAAGGTCTGAATTGGAGAGTGCTGGACTGTCCATGCTCCTTCAGTTGTATTATGTACACTTGAATAGTAAGCAGGTAGGGGGGCAAAGTTTGGAAGCTTAAATACTCACAACAAAGTCTTTGTGGGCTACATGTGAGCACCTGTGTTTTCTGCACTCAGCTGGTAAGAAAATATGAGTTGATAAATTTGTATAAACAAGGAAGTATAGACGTTATAGCAAAAATACCCTTCAACAATACAGTACAACTGCTGTTGTATCCATGGGGAATATACTCCTGAACTTACTGTAGAAACAGGAATCTGAAAAATAGAGGACTCTATTCAAAGAAACACTTTCAGTTGGAAGTTACCATAGAGTTACCCTGGAGGGTCTAGAAAATTTCTTACTTTTCAGATGAAGGAAGGTGAAATCATGGATATTAGTCCAACTCTACTGATAACTGGGGTTTTACTGTATGTATAAAGAGAAATGTTTATATTGATGCATGACAGATGCCTCAAAGTCAAGACAAGTATCAGGAAAGAAAAGTAAATCTATTGGATGTATAAGGAACCTAGAGAGACAATGAATACCAGAGCAATACAAATATAAAATCAAACGACATTTCAGGATAGGTAAGCCAGGCAGTTGGCCTTCTGTGTCACCCCCAACTTGTGGTTTTTCCAGGTTTTTTTTTTTTTTTTTTTTGAATGACTGCAGTTGCAAATGCTGGTCCAGAGGAAATTTTGCCTGCTTCCAAAAGCCGGTGCTTAAACTGAAATTGGAATTGTGCGCATCGTGCCTTTTGATGTCTCAATCGTGGGAAATTGCCCAATTCATTCTTAGACTGGAGCTTTTTAAAAACTTAGGTGTCCTTTTCTTCACAGACTGCAGACTCCTTTGGGATTATGTCTATCAGCTGCTGTCAGATCCCCGGTACGAAAACTTCATCCGATGGGAGGACAGGGAATCCAAAATATTTCGAATAGTGGATCCCAACGGGCTGGCCCGGCTGTGGGGAAACCATAAGGTAAAAAGCAGCCTAATGTTGGTACAACAAGTGCTGGTCTGAATTATAATGTTTTTGAACTAGCCCAGAATGCTAAATTGAGTTTATATTTGAACATACAGAAATACTTCTCATATACAGCCTGTTCCTGTGCATAGAGTTAATGGCCATGATGATGGTAACTTTGTATACAATTATTATAATGTCACAATATTGGAGATAATAGAGTCTGTAATAGTCTGTGTTTAACTCTTGCTCTTGCCTTCACTATTGCTATTAGCTGTGTTTTTTTAATGTATATAATTTCACCAAAATGTTGCCATATCTTTTTCATTTCCATATAATGATTTCCTTTTTCTTCTGTTTTAAAACTCTGAAATGAATAGAATAGAACAAATATGACATATGAGAAGATGTCTAGAGCCCTGCGCCACTACTACAAACTAAATATTATCAGAAAAGAGCCAGGACAAAGGCTTTTGTTCAGGTAATACCATCTCCTCCTCCTCCTCCTCCTCCTCCTCCTCCTCCTCCTTTTCCCCCCTCTTTCTCCTTCAGAATCCCCCCCCCCCCCATTTACCTTTTAGCTACACTTGGAGGCACTTATGAACCATACTAGTACCCTCCAGTACTAGTGTGTGAATTTGTAGTACGTTGCTGCCCACCCTGGGGGATGTGATGACCATTTTGGTAGGTTCTAGCTTGATAGGGATTGCCTCCAGTACTAATGTGTGAATTTGTAGTATGTTGATGCCCACCCTGGGGGATGTGATGACCATTTTGGTAGGTCCTAGCTTGAGAGGGATTACCTCCAGTACCAGTGTGTGAATTTGTAGTAGGTTGATGCCCACCCTGGGGGATGTGGTGACCATTTTGGTAGGTCCTAGCTTGAGAGGGATTGCCTCCAGTACTAGTGTGTGAATTTGTAGTAGGTTGATGCCCACCCTGGGGGATGTGGTGACCATTTTGGTAGGTCCTAGCTTGATAGGGATTGTCTCCAGTACTAGTGTGTGAATTTGTAGTAGGTTGATGCCCATCCTGGGGGATGTGGTGGCCATTTTGGTCAGTCCTAGCTTGAGAAGGATTCCTCCAGTACCAGTGTGTGAATTTGTAGTAGGTTGATGCCCACCCTGGGGGATGTGGTGACCACTTTGGTAGGTCCTAGCTTGAGAGGGATTGCCTCCAGTACTAGTGTGTGAATTTGTAGTAGGTTGATGCCCACCCTGGGGGATGTGGTGACCATTTTGGTAGGTCCTAGCTTGAGAAGGATTCCTCCAGTACCAGTGTGTGAATTTGTAGTGGTTGATGACCACCCTCGGGGATGTGATTACCATTTTGGTAGGTCCTAGCTTGAGAAGGATTCCTCCAGTACCAGTGTGTGAATTTGTAGTAGGTTGATGCCCACCCTGGGGGATGTGGTGACCATTTTGGGTAGGTCCTGGCTTGAGAAGGATTCAATGCCAGTGCGTGAATTTGTAGTAGGTTGATGCCCACCCTGGGGGATGTGATGACCATTTTGGTAGGTCCTAGCTTGAGAAGGATTCCTCCAGTAGTGTGTGAATTTGTAGTAGGTTGATGCCCACCCTGGGGGATGTGGTGACCATTTTGGTAGGTCCTAGCTTGAGAGGGATTGTCTCCAGTACCAGTGTGTGAATTTGTAGTAGATTGATGCCCACCCTGGGGGATGTGATGGCCATTTTGATAGGTCCTAGCTTTAGAAGGATTGCCTCCATTCAGTACTGGAAAAATGTAACATTGGTACTTTCAATGGAAGATTCCTTTTCAGCCGCTGTGGAAGGGAATCCTTTCCACTCTAGTTGGAGTAATTAACTGGTACTTGCCAGAAGCACAGTATTTTTTATGTTCTTGTCCAGAGCCTTGTCATATTGGAAAGGTAGGGCTGGCTCTCCCCCTTGTGGTGGTAAAGTTGACTAACATGTGAAGTGCCCTGCCTGTGAAGAACAAGGGAGGAGCCAGATTGAAGGATCTCCTCCTAACAACAGCTGAAAGCTTATAGTATGAATATTCTCTTCGATGTAATCTCGCCTGCTTCCTATGTGCAAGGATTTCTTCACATACAAACTGAAGAAATTTCCTTAAGATAGAAACCCCCCTTCCCCCGATTTTGGACAATCCAAGTTGCTTGTTTTCATTACTAATAGAATGAAGAACTTATCATTTCTAGAAAAATATTAGAGTGCTGCAAAATGCCAGCAAAGTAAGAAAAATAACACAAAACAGTACATACATATTAGGAACTGCAGTATGCATTCTGACTCCCATTATGTTTATACGTTACCTATGTTTTGCAGGTTCATGAAGACCCCAGATGAGATTATGAGCGGCCGCACTGACCGTCTGGAACATCTTGAATCTCAGGAACTGGATGAGCAAATCTACCAGGAGGATGAGTGCTGAAGAACAGTCCTGTGCTTCACTTTGGTCTGGGGAAGAGCAGATGGTGTGAAGACACATTCTGGTGGAAAATGACACCACAGGATTAAGCATTTACCGTGGACACGATGCCAAACCCCAGAGCACCTCAGAACAAAACCGTGGGCTAAGGTGGTGTTGGCAGTAGGATTTGGAAGAGAAAGACGGAGAGAGAGAGAAAGAGGGAGAGAGACAGGAACACCGCTCTACTATATTGTTCATTTGTAAATTCTTCCTGTTCTTGGAGTGTTCTTTGTTTTTGTTTTTTTGTTTGGCTAGTTTGGAATTTCCCCCCTTTAATATCATGCCATTTGGCCTTTTTAAAATGACTGTTATAAAGCAAAATACTTGGGTTTTGTTAATCCTGAAGGCTTTCCTATGGAAATGTAGCACAACTGTTTCTTGCAGAGCATCACAATATGATCCTGGCATAGGAGCAAACCGTGAGAAATGTCACAGAGGTGGTGAAATCACAAAATGTCTCCAGTTGCCTAAATTGCTTGTAATCACTCTTAACTCACAAAGAGAATCGGTTTTGGACCGCAATATGTTGTGAAGGTAATAAAGAAATGAAGAGGGCCCCTCCTGTTTGTAGACCTGAGACACTGAATGGCATATCTTGAGCTGATGTTGAGTCTTCAGAGAGGCAGCTTATCCCCAGAGTACAATGACTTCATCCACGCACGCTAGAACCTCTAATAAAATGCAGAAGACCCCCACTTTTCCAGCTTGAGCACGATTTAAATACATTTTTCCTTGACTAAATTTGTCAAGCCAGCACCAGAATATTTTCAGTTGCAAGTGGGAAGTTTCTTTGTGCTTGTGTGCACTCATGCACAATACTCAACTATCACTAGAAGCTGGATATTGATTTTAAAAATAAAAAGAAGGGTTTGTGGCCTTCAAAATAGCAATTTAGCTTTTCATTGACTAGCCCGTGCTTGCCTGAGAGGCTGTCGATGTGAGCAAATGTGCTAGAAAATCCACATGCTGTATTTCTTCAGTTGTAAGATGCCATCATTTGTAAGAGGCACCTTAATTTGTGTGTATGTATATAAATATTTGTGTGTGTATGTGTGTGTATACAGGGTGAGGCAGCATAACTTCTTTTTTTCAAAACTTAATAAACTCATTGTATGAATCAGGAAAATCAGGAAAAAATGTATATAATGTAGACGCATACCTAAAGTTTTGTTTTACGTAGTTTTGAAGATCAAATTAGGTAGGTGATGTCCCCCATTCTCCATACACTGAGTAAATCGATTTCTGGCATTTGTCATGACTCTTGCCAGCATAGCAGGCGTTATGTTGGCAATTTCTTCCTGGATGTTGGTCTTCAAATCTTGTAGGGTCCTTGGATGGTTCACATAAACACGGGATTTCAAAACACCCCACAGAAAAAAAATCACAAGAGGCCAAATCTGGAGAGCAGGCCGGCCACCCCAAATCTGCTTGAAAAGTAGGCCTCAATGGCAAAAGCACACTCCTCACTGTTCTAACGCATGATAGCGACTGAACTGTGTCAGGACAAAACTTTATACTCCCGCCTCTCGAACGAGACCACTATGTCTTCAACTGACTGAATGGTGCACATATTAAAAAAGGAAGTTATGCTGCCTTACCCTGTATATACACACACACACACATATGTGTGTGTGTGTGTGTGTGTGTGTGTGTGTATGTATGTATACACACACACATATTCAAAGTGTGTCTCAGAATTGAAAAAATACAGTCTTTAATTTCATTTCACATTGTTGTGATATGTCCACTTGCTTGTTTTTTGTTTTATTTTTATTTGATTCTATCCAGGTGCAACCTTGCAGTTTTCTGGTTGTTCTTCCCCATGTCGCGCATAGATCCTAATTTCAGAAGATTTGCATTTCTGTCGTCCTACATTAAAATGTACAGTTGAACCTTCACATTTGGTGCAAAGTCCCTAAAAATCTGGAAAACCCATAAATAAGAGTCTGCAACTTTCTTTTTAATTTGAGAGAACATTTCTCTAGGCACCTCTAAGTCTTCTAACATGATTCTGTGGTCAAGTTCTGGCTGAAGTGTCCTAAAAAGGTGTAGAGGTGTTCCCTCTTGATATTTCTAGGTTCTCCAGCCTGAAACCGGCCCACCAGACCATGGAATTGTGCTGGAGCAACCTAGAAATGCATATATATATATAGAGAGAGAGAGAGAGAGAGAGATTAAGGTGGCAACAGAGGCAACAGCAAATACATCCATGAATCGTTAACTCAGTTAATTCACAAATGGGAAGGAACGACCTGTACCTGCAAGGAAGCCTTCCAGCTTTTCGGACAAGAGAAACTTGGCCCGTACCTTTTGTTTGTAGGAAGTCTTAACAGTTGCAGCTTCAGTTAATTCTGAAGGTTGTTAAAATATTCCAAAAATAGACCACCAGTAATACCCCATGTAGCATTCCCGTGTGCATATATGATGGCATAATGTTATCTTTGTTAACAGGATCTATATTTTATTGACATGGCTTTCTATATCTTACACCAAAATATCAAAATGACTAAAGCCATGTCAGGAAAAGATAAAAGTATATTGCTTGAATCCAATATGCAAATTGAGTATATTTTAATCTGTTGTCTTAATTTGCATAATTTCTTCTGGGTTTTTTTTAATGGGGGAGCACAGTTTCTGAATTTTTAATCCCACGCTCGAAATCTTTTTCCAAGCTTAGGTTTTGAATCTTCTTGAGGACTAGAAACGTTTTGAGAGAATCTCAAGATGCTGAATCTGATATTACATATGAGCCTGCATATCCTGGATGTTTCAAAATGATGGAACCAGACTTCAAAGAATATATTGTCGAAGGCTTTCATGGCTGGAATCACTCAGTTCTTGTGGGTTTTTTCGGGCTATATGGCCATGTTCTAGAGGCATTTCTCCTGACGTTTCGCCTGCATCTATGGCAAGCATCCTCAAGAATATATTTCACGATGGCAATGTGTTGCAATTACGTTTTTATTTCTCGTGTCGGGGGCAGACCAAACAGTTGCATTGCATTTTTTAAATTATGTAAAAAGTTGCAAATGGTTTACCAAATTCTTAGGTTAGAAAGATTTAACTATTTTGAACAGGAAACAGATCTAACAAATGCTCCACGAATGGAGAATACCAGTATCTCATTAAGCCTTATGATTTTGGGGGGAGGGGGGGTGTCGCCATCTTGGAAATGACTGAATGAGGGGCTGTTTGTGAGCTCATAGAGGCATCTAGCAGTAATCATTTGAACCTCTATGCCCCACATATATATAAAGAGCATATGTGTGTGTGTGTGTGTTCTTTCATGGGCAATTTGTGGGCAGTTCATGGTTGCAAAGATAAATTGGGTCCATCATTTTGAAATATCCTGTGTTATGCAGTAGACATAGATCAAGCCACTTATTGGAATCTGATGTCAATAAATGTCACGTATTTCTTAATAGGTTTCACACAGAAAAATGGAGCAGTCCTGCTCTGGGATTATACATTTATTGTTGTTTAAAATAAAACATTAGGAAAGCAGATAGCTTTTCACAGATATTAGATCCTTATTCTCTCATGGAAGTCATCACTTTTTGCCTCTCACTCATCCTACTTGTGGATCCCCCCATTCCTGTCTCCCTTTCCTCCACAATGACCTTGATTTTGTTTGTCTGTTATTTATATATTGGCTAGTTAAATAGACCAAGAGATGTTTGGCACCCAGGACTCGGGACCACTTCAGAGTAGTTCCAGCAGAGTCGCTGCTTCCCAAATGGCAACAGAATTATTCTTATTTTTCTTATGTTTATTTATAGCCCACTTTTTTTCTCCATGAGGAGAGACTCAGAGCGGCAGAACAAGTTCCATGGCCAACATGTTTTATGGATTTTTTCCCAAATCATACTCTTTATTAAGTTCACATCTTTCAGATTAACTATAGAAATTTGCAAAAGGTTCCACTTCCATTTATTCTTCCTGAATTTGCAATTCACCATTTGCAAATTCCTGCATAATTTTAGGTTGACTGACTCTACCAAGGGGGAAAAAAGGCTAGTCTATTCAGTTGCAGAAAATGCAAATTATCTATTTAAATACAGCTGAAAGTCTACAATGTTTTTTAATCAATGCAAGAAGCCTAGACTGTATAGAGAAAGCCAAGGAATTAATGAATGGTGTGATTACCAGCCTGATCAGAAGCAATTGTAGCAATTGGAAAAAAGAACGATCCATGTGAGGATGTGTTTTTCATATTCGGAAATCAAATCCAGTTTCTTTTCTATTTCAAATAGACATTATGGTTGCTTGTGGAAATGACAACTGTGAGGCAAATTCCCAACTGTCTCCTCTTGACATGATATATTGTGCTTACCTTCCCAACCAGCAGCAATCACCAACGGTAGAAAAGCATTCCTGGGAGGGGTGTTCTTAAATCGTATATATTTGCGGAATGACCCTCCTGCAAGTTCCCCATACGAATTGCGTGTTTGATAAGCAAACTTCCATTCATAGGGGACAGGATGTGTTTCTTTTCCATTTCTGCTGCCATATGCAAAGTACAAAATGAAAAGGTGGGGTTTTTTAATGGAAAAAAAAATCTTTTTTATTTTCTTAAGTAAATTATAGTTTCTTGATGACGGCTCTTCCTTTTTTTCTTCAAGGTGTGGGGTTAAGGGATTTGAATTGAATGAATGTAAACAAAGCAAGCAAGAATGCCTCTTCTCAGGGCCAGTGAGTTACAAATACTTTTTAAATGCTTGTAATTACATCATCTCAATAAAATTTTTAATATAAATGGGTGCACTGTTTCTCTATTTGCATGTCAACATTGAAGGTGTCAGCCTCACGACTTTCCCAGTTCTGCTCATAAGTGTTGTTGCATCATTGTAATAAATGTCTGATTGTACGTACAGTGGGAAGTCTAGCACCTCATCCTATGGATCATGATCAACTAAACCTGTAACATCCCTGTTCCTTCCTTTAAAGGTCTCTCCTTGACAAAGAATCTACATATGGTCTATCGCAGGCATGGGCAAACTATTTAGGGAGGGGGCTGCATGGCTGGCGAGATGGGGTCAGGTGGGTTGGACTGGGAGAGAGCGAGGAAAGTCAATGTTTGGTGGGGGGGGGAGCGCAGTTCTGCAGTCGCTGACATGATGGTGAGTACACGTAGCAGTGTTACAATTGTTAGTTCTGACTTTTGGCCTCATTCAGTAAGTAAGAGGGAACAAGATCAATAGGATCAAACAAAAACCTTTCAATGTGTTGTCTGAAGGCTCGTGTGGGAGGGCTTTTTCCCTTGCAGATTAGCCTTCCTGAACACTTGGGTTCCATTAGCAGGACTTGTGCTCGAGTACAGACTTCCTGGTCATCAGAGCTTGCAATCACATGTATGTAACTGCTATATGCGACTTTTGCCCATTTTATTAGCCCTGGTTCCTGGATCTGGATTTGAGTATTGATTGGATGGAGTTTTAATGCTAATGTTTTATACTTCTATGTTTATTTACTTTGTTTTTAAATGGACAAATGCTCCATTTGATTTTTTGTTTTTGTTTAATAATGGATTGTTTATTGTTTTATGGACATTTGGTCCCATGTAAGCCGGCCCAAGTCCCTTTCGGGAGATGGTGGCAGAGTATAAGAATAAAGTGATTATATTATTTGACTTACTTAGGTGATCGCTTGTTGTCCAAGTAGGATTGTCTTCCAAGAGTGGTGTAGTGGCGGTGGGTCCGTAGGTGACCGTGAAGCCCTATTCTTGAGCTGCATCTTCTCCTGCAGTGAAGGCATCATTTTCCAGGTGGAAGGCAGTCCCAGTTGGGGTTGGCTTGACGGGCCTTCCTCTTGGCACATTTATTTCGCCCTCCATTTGTGCCTCTTCAAATTCTACAGCACTCCTGGTCACAGCTGACTTCCAGCAGGAGTGCTCAAGGGCCAGGGCCACAGTTTTTAAGGTTGGCTTTGAGCCCATCTTTAAATCTCTTTTCCTGTCTGCCAACATTCCGTTTTCCGTTCTTTGACTATACTTTGTTAGGAGAGAAGGTACATGTTAGGTGAGAAGGTGAGATGTTACATCTGTTTTTTTAAAAAGCCCTGATGAGGACATTTCTTTCTTGCTGACAGAGTGGTTTTCCTGATGAGTTGGAGTGACCCAGCTTCCTCAGAGTCAGTGAATTGCTGGCGAGTGGATGTAGCAGTGGCTGAATTTTTACAAATCCTAGTTCTGACTTTTGGCCTCCTTCAGTAAGTAGAGTACAAGGTGAATGAGTTTCATGGCATCAAACAGACACATTTCAGTATATTGTTTAAAAGCTCATCTTGGGGGTCCTTTCTTTCTTGTTGGGTAGCATCTCTGAACACTTGAACTCCATTGGTGTAACTTCTGTTGGATTACTGACTGGCTGCTAGTTGGAGATAATAACTAGTACGTGTTTGCTAGAAGAGATTTTTGATCTAAAAGGGTCAGACTTGACTATCTGAGTTTGTCATGCAATTTGATCTAAAAGGGTCAGACTATTTGAGTGCATGATGAAAGGAGCTCCTTTCATCATGTGCAGAGAGTAGGAAGGGACCTGTGGTGGTGGCTCTGGTGGAAGGTGGGTTCTTTGTGCATGGCCTTTGCTCTGGCTGCCATTTTACTTTAGAGGCGCTCACTTTCTCTGTGCCGCAGGATTGCTGCTGTCTGCACTGATGCCACCTTCTGCCAGCATTGCTGCTTTGCGGTCCAGCTGGAGCGGAAGTATGGTCCGATGGGGTGACTAGAGGCCGCTCTCCGCCGCAGCCCTGTCGCACCCACAGAATGTGAGGGGAAGAAAATTGGCAGAGTTGTGATCTTCTTTCTGCCTTTCTGTCCTGGGGAGGGTAGGAATGTGGGTGAGGGGCTAGAGTAATAGGAGAGTAGGAGGAGCACCCGCTGCAGGATGGCACCCCCAGTGCTTTTCCGGCCCTGGCAGTGTGCCCCGCTGGCTGAAGGAAACAGCCCAAAGGGTGTGTCCGGTCCGTGGGCCGTAGTTCATCCATACCTCATCTAAAGTGTTGGCAGTAGTCCTGTTATTTACTTAGACCAATAAAAAGTTGTACCATTTATTACCATAAAGAAAATAGATTACCAACTGAAGCTTATAAAAAAATCAACATTTTATTTGTTACAACTCCATGTATAATAATTGGAAAAGGAGTGGGGAGTTTTGTACATGGGATATATACAGTTTTCAAATAAAGTGTTTTTATTTTACAATATAAAAAAGTGTTAGTGAATGAATGAAGAGGGCTGACCAAATGTTGGTCATTATAATACATCCTTGCAAAGCACCACTGTGTCGAAATCTATGAACATGCTAGCTGGTTTTTAAAAAGACGGCAACAGATTAATAAAAAAAAGCTTTAACACATTTAGAAGTTCAAAAGCAGGACCACATCCTTCACTTGCACACAAGGTATGTTCAGCTTATGACAGATAGTATCCTCTTTATAAATGAAATGATTCATTTCCCCCTGGTCAGCTAAAGTCAGTGACAGATTTAACTCAATGATCAACTGGAAGATTCCTACTACCCGTCGAAGCCTCTGTAAGGAGACAAATTTCAATTGCCATCTTCTTTCCCACCCCTGCCCCCAAATTGTAAGAAGACAGCCGTACCTACATACACCTGTTTTCCCCTTTCCTTGTTTAAATTTTGTGAGAAGCTGCCAGACAAATGTGTTTTACAATGCAGTTCTTCATTATGAGTATATTCAAAATACAAAAAAGTACATGATTTTGAGTTATTGGAAGTTGAGAGCAGAAGCAAACAACATTTAAAGTATGCACGTTTGCACAGTGGGTTTGGATTTATAATTATTATCTGCTTACACCACAGGTAGGTGTGGTTTTACTAAATTTATCTATTACCTGTTTTCAATTAAACTCAAGTATTCAATTAAACTCAAGCATTTGAATCTTTCGAAACTTTTTTTCCTGGTTAAAGGGTCAATAGCATTTTGGGTGCCCTATACATATGACAAAGTGGCAATTTATGCAATCCTCCTAAAATGATGTTGACACAAGAAAACAGAGCAGAATAGGCTTTCAGGAAAGCCTCAAAATAACTGTCCTCCCAAGAGAAAGAAATAGCTTTTCTTTAGTTTTATTCAGTATGTGTCTCCCCCCCCCCCTTTTGGTCCAAGAAGGAGGCTGTTGCAGTTTCACTCCCTTTACGACCCGAGTACATTTCCTTCTAAACAAAAGGTTTGCACAGAGTACTAGTGATATACAAGGGATTAACTACAGGAAAAGGCAGAAATGGCACTGAAGAAAAATAGAGGAAATGCCAAGCTTACATAGCCTAGTGCCTGTGACCAAACATTTTTTTTTCATTGAAAAGGAAGCTATTTGTCTCCAACAACAATTGAATTCTAGGATTCATTTGTTTTAACGTGCAGTTATGGAACTAATAGGCAATTGATTTCCTTGTTCCAACGTTATTACTGTTGAGTCAAAGCAGCATTTGGGAGAAGGCAAAGATAGCGGCTTACTTTCTGGGGTTGCCTCTTATATTTCACTGAAATCTGACAGTTGCCTATCATACAAAACTAAGTAACTCTTTAGTTTTGTATGCCTCAAACTAAGTATACATCACACACACGCTTTCTAGGTGCGTGAACTGCAACTCCCATCATTTCCAGTTCTACAACATCTGGAAGATCACATAAGATTCTTAACCGTTCTAAATGCACAGGAGGCAGGGAATCCGGTTTCTGCCACAGGAAGAAAATACTACAGCATAAGCTCAACCACCTTATAACAGAAATAGACACAGATACACACTTTGCAAGAAGATTGTTGCTAATACAGTACAAGCAGTTAGACTGCGACAAAGCAATACTCTGAATCCACAAGAATAACATACTAACTCCTTCTCAGAATGGTGTACACTTAATGATGCAAACATTGAGTTTTTTCATATCATTCCAGCTAAGACATAGTGATCACTGCAGGGAAATTTCTTTTGTTTACAACATATCAATTTTTCAGACCTCATCCATGCATACCCTTCCTGTACAGAAGAGCCAAACAACTATAGAGCTTCAAGAATTTGAAATGGAACACCTGTTATCCAATGTTTTTGCAGAATCTGTGTAAAGTGAAGCCTGAAAATAATTCTAAATTATATTTTTTTAATCGTGTCAGGAGCGACTTGAGAAACTGCAAGTTGCTTCTGGTATGAGAGAATTGGCCATCTGCAAGGACGTTGCCCAGGGAACGCCCGGATGATTTGATGTTTTTATCATCCTTGTGGGAGGCTTCTCTCATGTCCCCACATGAGGAGCTGGAGCTGATAGAGGGAGCTCATCCGCCTCTCCCCGGATTCGAACTGTGACCTGTCGGTCTTCAGTCCTGCCGGCACAGGGGTTTAACCCACTGCACCAGCGGGGGCTCATAATTCTAAATGCAGGGTTGCAATCTTGATGTACATGCCTTTGGAAGTCAAGTTCAATAAACCAAATGAATTTCCAATTTGATGTGCTTAAAACTAGGAAACAAAGTCAACTTTGTGTAAAGGGCACTTTCGGGCACACAGTTTATTTTCATTAGATCCAAATGATTGTTCCTAGAGTAAACTCAGCTTCTGGAAGCTGAAATTAAATAGTACTGAAGTTTGCAAAAATGTCCAGGAAACAAAATACTCAGAAGCTGGCAATGATTGCAAGTCTCAAACATCTTAAACTGAGACTGGCAAAGAGAAAAGTAAAAAGTGCTTCATATATTAATGTGGTTACCGTGACTGTTTCAGTTGCATTAATATATCCTATAACAGACAAGGTATAGGGTGAGGCAGCATAACTTCCTTTTTTAAAATGCGCGCCATTCAGTCGGTTGAAGACGTAGCGGAGCGCTAGTGGTCTCGTTCGAAAGGCAGAAGTATAAAATTTTGTCCTGACACAGTTCAGTCGCCATCATGCGTTGGAACAGTGAGGAGCGTGCTTTTGCCATTGAGGCCTACTTTTCAAGCAGATTTGGAATGGCCGGCCTATTCTCCAGATTTGGCCCCTTGTGATTTTTTCTATGGGGTTTTTTGAAATCCCGTGTTTATGTGAACCGTCCAAGGACCCTACAAGACCAACATCCAGGAAAGAATTGCCAACATAACGCCTGCTATGCTGGCAAGAGTCATGACAAACGCCAGAAATCGGTTTACTTAGTGTATGGAGAATGGGGGACAACACCTACCTAGTTTGATCTTCAAAACTAGGTAAAACAAATCTTTAGGTATGCGCCTACATTATAAAAAAAATCTGATTCATTCATACAATGGGTTTTATTAAGTTTCGAAAAAAGGACGTTATGCTGCCTCACCCTGTATTAAAGGGGAATTCACACCATCAGAGAGCCAGTATTGAGGCAATCCACTAAAAGCATAGGCTTCAAGTTTTTACACTTCGCCTGTGCAGGTTTGTTGGAGCAATCACAGCATATCTATTAGAACAATGCAGCTCTTAGAAAATGTCATTTCTTATATCTGTGAAAAATCGCAGAAATGATCCTGGCCAAGATCTTATTTGCAAGTGGGCGGATCACATTCATCTGTAGGTCCTAGGAGCGGAAAGGTAGCCCAGTTGGGACCTCTTTTGGTCCATCTGTGGGCACTTGGGCCAGTGCTGCAGAGACATGCTTAGCACTATTCAGCTACTGCTGTGCAACTGGGCAAAACCGTTTCACAAGAAGGTACCGGATACCTCCTCATGCAACTTAAGCAAAATACTCTGGGATAACCTCCACCTTCCAATCATCCATGGATTTGCACTCCAGCACTTTAGGAAGAAGACTCCCCGCAAGAACCTTTCCAAAAATGCAATTTTGAATTCCTAAATTTCACACTTGATTCAGATACTCATCACCTAAACAGTATGCAGCAATAGCAGCAACAGAAAACGCTGCAAACTCCAGGAAATGAAAATTGAGAGCAGGTTCGTGTACTGCCTTTCTGGTACTATGTAAAGCTATTATAAAATTAAAGGCTGCCCCCACATCAGTGAAGGAACAAAGACAAAATGAAACAAAATACAGAATGCTAACAAAATACTTTGGCAAAGAATAACGAATAACAGACATTCACAGTGATTTGGGCTTCAGAATGGAAGTGTCGACAGAAAAGAACAAACAGCACCTTGAGGTCACTCTGCAAGGATCATCTGATTAAACATCATAGCTGCACCAACAGGAATAAGAAGTATTACCAACAATCGAGGGCTTCAGAGTCTATTGTGAAGGAAAATAATTGTAAAAGCTTCCTTTTAAAGACAAAAAGAGTAGTTTTAAATATATAAATTTATACTGTGACATTTACTATACACTGAAAGTACTGCAAGAATATAGGATTTAATTTACATTAAACTATTACTTCAACATTAAATTATCATTATTATTATTTATTATTATGTGATATAAAAATATGAAAACTTTGGGGAGCACTGAAATATTTCGAAGAGTAGGCAGGAATCTTACTCAGGTACAATTACCCTTGTCATTATCCTGGAAACAGCAATGGGCTGATAGGACAAAATAATCCCATTGTAATGGAAGGGGAGTAAAAACATAATTCCATATTACACATATACATGTGTATATAGAAAGATGTCTTGATTCATAGTTTCGGCCCCCAGGGCTGTACCTGCGATAAGACAGGGACCAGACCCCATGTGTGTGCACTCCTTTTGTCTCATGCTGCAAACAGAGAGTAACCAAGACTTCAGGGGCCCCATCATGTATCTGAATGCAGCATCTCCCTTACCCTATAAAACAGAACAGGGAGGCAACTGAGGCAGTGTGTACACACAGTGTCTAGGCCTATTTCTTATCTCGACACAGGGAAATGTTCAGTGAAGGGTTGCATTTAAAAAAAAAACTACAAAGGCACAGCCAGGAAAAATGCTAGTGCTTCCAGAATGGGAAACAAACCAATAAAATGATTTGATTTCAAATAAACAAAGGGTGCCATTTTCAAAACGTTAGGAGTGGGGAAGTTTATTGGTCTGTGGGAACAAAAACAACCAAGAGTCCTGTAGCATGTGAAAGACTCACAAGTTGTAATTGACATAAATTTCTTTTGGGTTTTAGTCTATAATAATATTTATTATAGACTAATAATAAATATGACCATTTCAAAATAGAACATGAGTAAAAAAAACAAGGCAGATCCGTCATTATGGGTTTTAGTCTACTTTCTCACATGTATCTGATAAAATGGTCTGAAATCCATATAAAAAGTTAATGTCAAAACCAAAACGTTGTCAGTCTTCCATATGCAGCAAGGCGCTGTTATGGTCAGAACTTTGCATAAGTATTGTCACTGCTGTGATTGTTGGATTCTTGTAGAAAGCAAAGCCCTTTGTGTATTGTTAGTTTTCTGCCCTGCAATTTTCTTCAAGTTTGATTTGAACTTCTGGCCGACCAGAATAAAAAATGCAAGGTAATTCAGCTCTTTGCACCTAGTTATATATGCTGCTAAATGACGGGTTCCTTTTACCCCTTTCCTTATTAAAAAGCCCACTCTCTCTCTCCCTTTTTTAGTATTTGGCTCATTGAACAGCAACGTTTCCTTATGTGGTCAGTCACTTGACTGATTTAAGGCATCTTCTTGTGTTCCACTTGAAAAAATAAAAAAACCCCTTTGTATACAAATTTTTAAAAATTTCTTATGGCACAAAGCAGCAAACTCTGTTTTTAGGAAAATATATAAATAACTTTTATCACTGCCTTCTATACATGCCCACTTTCCCACCCCATGTAATACATTTTAACTGTACATACTATGCCCTACCTCATGTCCTCCCCCCTCTTGCTAAGGGAAATCATTATTTACACTAGTGAGTTGGAGGCAGTCAAAGGAGGGAGGGAATTTCTCATGAGGAATCTGTACAGGGAGAAGGGGGTGGTGGGTACAGGTGATGTGAGTAGCTCCGTTCCGTGTACGGAGATGGCGGGCAACTCTCGTAGTTCTCCTCTGCTGATAAATACTGGCTGCGCGGCGTTGGAGGAGGAGGCACAGGCTCAGAATCATAGTTCAAATCACTTGTGTAACCTTTGCCCACAGTTGTTGTCATCACTCTCCGGCTGGGAGCATAGTCACTGTCACAAACGTCTGTGCTGCAGGGCGTAGTGGGAGGAGCAAAATGCCGGTAGCTGTATGGCCTGTAACTGGGCCAAAAAAAGGGCGAGAGGAAATTAAAGGCATTGGCATCATAAATGAACCTCAGATTTTCTTCACGTGATGTGTCAACCTGCCAGTGTCAAACGTCAACCATGTTTTGTACTTATTTTTCTTTGGAGAGCGTTTGGTGATTGGAATAAAATATAAAGACAGATTGCAATCCTATTCTGAATGCACAAAAACCGACGAGAGGTTCCTTTAATTGGAATTTTAGTAGGGGTGTGAGAAATGGCAGAAATCCATTCTGTTTTCATTTTGAATTTCGGGTGCCCCCTGTTCTGTTTTTGGGAAGATTCGAAAGGGGGACATTCAGCTTCATAATTCGGGATCCAGAATAACATCCCAAAAACACAACCCCGGAGGGGGGGAGGGGAAGAGAAAGCAAAATTCGAAACGAAAACAGAATTGATTTCTGCCATTGAAATCCACAAGCATGTGGTCAATTTCAACAAAAAGGAGGAAACCATGAAAATGAACAAAATCTAGCTACCAGTATTTAAAAAACTCTAAAATTACAACAGCAAAACAACAGAGAGGAAACAAACAAGGACATCTAATCACCTCTCAACAAAAGATTGCCCCAGGCACTGCCAGGCCATCAAATGCTAATCAAGGTGGTCAGTTGAAACATTCACACCTAGCTCCAACAGACAAGACTCCTTTGTCCCACCTTGGTCATTACACAGATATATAAACCCATTTTCCTAGTTCCAACAGAACTCACTACCTCTGAGGATGCTTGCCATAGATGCAGGCAAAACGTCAGGAGAGAATGCCTCTAGAACATGGCCATATAGCCCGAAAAAACCTGTAACAATCCAGAATGGATTTCTGTCATTTTGCCTATCCCTAAAGTAAAACAATCTTGCATGAATTACATGTCCTAGACAAGCACATATAAGTAGCCTGTTCATTCACTTGCTTTGTTGAACATTTTTTAATAATAATAAAAATAATAATAATAATAAACTTTATTTATACCCCGCCACCATCTCAACAAAGGGACTCGGAGCGGCTAACATGAGGCCAAGCCCAAAAATAATACAGCAAAGCTTGACACAAAACAACAGAAAAATACATCACAACAAAATACATAAAATAACAAAATAAACAGTGCAAAGTAACACAATAGAAATCAAATATAATGGGTGGGCCAAATGCATGCAATAAAATGTTAAAACCCTGGGTGAGATAGGACTAGAAAAAGTGTATTCGGCTTAGGAAGTTTGCTAAGCATGGAGATATATCTCTAAAAAATGCAGTGAGCCTCTTAAAGGAATGTCACAAGTTTATAGAATTGAGAATTAAATCTGGCTTTGATTCTCTAATGAGATAGCAATAGGCATAGAAGGAAGCTTGCAAACAATCTTTCCTGATGAGCAAGTGCCAAGACAGAATGAGTTTTATGAAGTTCTTCCTATATATGAACAGACAGGTAAGTAATTTTTTGTGGGCTTGGAAGGGTGTGCAAGTTTGAGGGACTTATTTTGAAGGGTGTGCAACAGCTCCACGTGTGCTAGTAGTATTACCTGTATGATCGATGAGTTGATGGGCTGTTTGAAGAATAACCAAATTCCATAGTATAATGTGAACGCTCAGTAGCTGGTGATGGAGGAGGATTCAATATCTTTGAAAGAAACCACAAGAAATGATGGGAAGAATTAGTTTGAACAGAAGTCAAAAAAGTGTCAAATAAATATTCATAACAATAAGGCAATTTTTATCGAGCATAGCACTGTGTTGTGAATACTACAGATTATTGCTCCCAAAATACAGGTTGAGTATTCCTTATCCAAAATGCTTGGGCCTGGAATGTTTTGAATTTTTAACCTTTTTGGATTTTGAATGCCTGCATTTGCATATACATAAATAATAATAATAATAATAATAATAATAATAATAATAATACTTTATTTATACCCCGCTACCATCTCCCAAGGGACTCGGTGCGGCTTACATGAGGCCGAGCCCACAATACATCAATAATAAAAGCAATAACAACAAATAATATAAAACAATAAAATAAAACTCATAGCAAAAATAAGCAATAAACATTAACAGTAACACAACGACATTTAAAACCTATGTAATAATTAAAATTTAAAGATAATGCTGAGCATGAACAGATGAAATATGAACTAGGACAGAGTTTTCAGAGAGGGATGGGGCGTGCAGACATTCCTAGATCCATAGTAACGTGCATTTAGAGGACATATTGCTGGGAGTTTCCTTATTCTGGGAAGGCACACTGGAACAACCACATTTTCAGGCTCCTCCTAAAGACTGCCAAAGTTGAGGCATGCTTGATATCCTTGGGGAGTGAGTTCCAGAGTCGAGGGGCCACCACCGAGAAAGCCCTCTCCCTCGTCCCCACCAATCGCACCTGCGATGGAGGTGGGAGTGTGAGCATGGCCTCTCCAGATGATCGAAGGGGTTGTGTGGGTTCGTACACAGAAATGCGTATGTACGTTAATCGGTCCTCCTTACAGAGAGAGGTCAACCCTCCTGTTTAAGGAGCTCCATTGGCTACCGTTCATTTTCTGGTCCCAATTCAAGGTGCAGGTGCTCAGCTACAAAGCCCTAAACGGTTTGGGACCTGCCTACCTGCATGATCGCATCTCCGTTTATGAACCCGCATGCTCCCTTCGTTCATCCAGAGAGGCCCTGCTCACGATTCCACCTGCATCGCAGGCGCGTTTGTTGGGGACGAGGGACAGGGCCTTCTCTGTGGTAGCCCCCCGACTCTGGAACGCCCTCCCCAAGGACATTAGACAGGCTCCTACGTTGGCAGTCTTTAGGAAGAACTTGAAGACTTGGCTATTCTGGTGTGCCTTTCCAGAATAGGAAACTCCAGCAACACGTCCCAGAAGCACTTTACTAGAGACCTAAGATTGTCAGCACGTTGCACTTACCCAAAATCCTTATATTTCAACTGTCACACTCAGCACTTTTAATCTGTACCCATTTACACTTGGCCCTGCCTTAGTTTTATTGTGCTATGGTGTGCTGTTTTTACTGTTTACTGTTATTGCTTAATTGTGTTGATTTGCTTTATGGTTTATGTGTATTGTTGTATTGTTGTTTTATTGAGGCCTTGGCCTTTGTAAGCCGCATCGAGTCCTTCGGGAGATGTTAGCGGGGTACAAATAAAGTTAATAATAATAATAATAATAATAATAATAATAATACGTATATGGGCTCAAACTCTGAACTCACAAGTTAATTTAGGACTCATATGCACTCTATACACATAGCCTAAAGACAATTTATTATCTACCTTTTGTGTTGTGGTTCTCACTACAAGGTAACAATATGCTTGTAAAATGTAACAGTTTCGATTGAAAGTATGGAAAAAACCAAGTTTGAGGATAAAATAATGCAAATTTGTGTATCACTTTTGAAAAATAGACTGATGCACAAATCAATAGAAAGACTCTGTCCTTCCCCATTACATTCATGGGTTGCCTTAACAAAGGCACTCTGTTCTCTTGAAAACTCAAATTCTCTCTTTGGCCACCTGCTTCTAAATACATTACCACAATTTAAATATCATAATTAGTGTACTTATTATTCAGTGTATAAATACGATACTCCTTGAACATTTAGCTACAAAAACCACTTAAGATTTCACAATTCAGTTTTCATACAGTAGTTCAGCTGTGCAATGAACACTGGAGAATATGATGACTTACTGGAGGGAAGTAAGTCCCCTTAGTGCTTGAAGAGCTACTGGATGATGCTCCAGTAACATGAGCTCTGTCATAGGGAGGTCCACTGCTTCCACCCATAATACTGAGTGAACTGATCACAGATTTGCCACGGGGCATTCCTAGAAAGGAAACGAGAAAAGAGGAAGATTCATAACTGTATTTTCTCAGCACCATCTCACATGAAGAAATTAATACTATGATTAGATTTCGATGTGGGGAAGCCATGCTCTATTTTGAAAATAGTCAGCAAGAGGAAGGCTGTAAGTTTGATTTGGTAAGCCTTAACTTTGCATCTGCATATGTCACTCCACCTATCCTCATAGAGACTTCATGTTAATGTCTCTGTGTGTATCTTAATCATCTTTCAGCCCTCTCGTCATCTACAGAACTTTGATAAATTTGATGTATAGTCTACCTTACTGTGCATCTGAGAACTCTGGGATTTATGACAAGAAATCATAAAGTCATCAGTTGCGGACCCCTCCCCTCCCCAGTACCAACTGCTGCTCTGGGCCAGAGTGAAGAGAGAGGGGGCCAGGGGACAGTTCCATCTTGTCTCCTGTGCTATGCTAATAATATAATATAATATAATATAATATAATATAATATAATATAATATAATATAATATAATATAATATAATATAATAATATAATATAATATAATATACATATAATATTTATAATATTATAATGTAGAAGAAGAACAACAACAACTTTATTTTTCTACCCCGCCTCCATCTCCCCAAAGGGACTCGGGGCGGCTTACATGGGGCCCAAGTCCAGGCAGAATGCAATTAAAATAAAGCAATAACAATTAAAACAGAGTAAAAACAGCATAAAATAACATAACAAAAATAGCTAGCAACAACAATAACAGCAGACTAATTTTGGAGGGGGGGGACCACTACGTGAACTAGTTAAAGGATAAAGTGGTTTAGTAAGGTAGATGACAATGTATAACGGCATAGGAAAAATAATGGAAATAGAGCAAATTAACAGGATCAGTTAATATAATATAGGACATCAGATTGAATGACAATTCAAGTCATGATACAGGCCATTTGTCATAGGAYTTGCCAATCGAAAGCARGGCGTAATACAATATAATTTTTTTTTGTCGTGTCAGGAGCGACTTGAGAAACTGCAAGTCGCTTCTGGTGTGAGAGAATTGGCCGTRTGCAAAGACGTTGCCTAGGGGACGCCCGGATGATTAGATGTTTTTATCATCCTTCTGGGAGGCTTCCCGCATGTCCCCACATGAGGAGCTGGAGCTGATAGAGGGAGCTCATCCGCCTCTCCCCGGATTCGAACCTGCGACCTGTCGGTCTTCACTGCGCCACCGGGGGCTCCTTATACAATACTAATAATATTATACAATATAATACTAATAATATAATAATMTAATACAATATAATAATACTAKTAATAATATTATAATTATATATTTTATATTACACAGAATATTACTAATAATATTACAATAATATAGTAATATAGAATACTGATATTGTACTATGCTAATAATATAATATATTGTATGTATACATATCTTGTAAGCCGCTCTGAGTCCCCTTTGGGGTGAGAAGGGCGARATATAAATGTCGTAAATAAATAAGTGATTTAATTCCAATTTTTAATTTCACTAATTTTATAATAATAATAATKATKATKATCATCATCATCATCATCATCATCTTTATTTGTATTCTGCCCTTTCTCCCTGATGGGAGTCAGAGCAGAATACAATATATTTCGCTTTGATATAAGGGAAACGTTCAACTGCCACAAAGAAAACAATACAGACAATTACATCAAAATAAACACATTCAACAATATAACACAGCCTAATTTAACTTAACAAGCAAAATAATAAGCAAAGGCATCATAAAATGCTAAAATCCTGTAAAAACACACTAACAATAAAAATAATAAAGTATTCTAGTTTCAACTTCTGTGAATTAACACTCATCAAACCGGGAAGCCATTATCAACATTTGCTTTTTTGGCACACATCCCAAAACCTTACTAAGAGACAAAAACTTCAGTGCAACAGCATTCAGAAATGCATCTAAGTATGATGACCAACCAGGAAGAGATCCCGAGAGAGAGCTTGGATGAGGCACGTAGCCTAGAGGTACAGAAGCTGGCCCATGCACCACATAGTCATTAGTCATTGTTTCGCCTTCTCCTTTCATCCTTGGGCACAATACTCGCTGACAGACAAAGTACATCGCAGTGACAATAAAAAGAGTGAGAATTACACCAACAACAGAGCCTATTGTACTGCTGGCTTGTGGAGCCGGTTCTTCAGTTGTGTCTGAAAGGCAGAAAGAAAGAAAAAACAAGTGTTATCAAGTATGTTGTTTTTTAAAAAAATAGCAACAAGCACTCTTTACCCTGATAGCTTCTGCCTCTTATGTTGCTACACACACTATTAATGGGCAGTGAAGGATGTGACAAAATATATATGGCCTGTGCTTTGTAGGAAAAAGGAAGGAGGGTTAACATTAACGTTTGAAAGGGAAAATATGGCCAGTGTTGGAGTAGGAAAAACAAAAGACGGTTAACATCAATGCTTGAAAAGGGAAAATGCAGCTTTTTCTAAAGGACGGTTGTAATTGTAAGACTGTAATTACACATTAACACATAGTAAAACAGCCTGAGAAATCGTATCACACACCACCTCATTGCATTCTGACTGGTGTTTCCCTCTTTATACTAAGTTCAAGTAGAAATAACATTGTGAAGTCATTTTAAAAAAAGGGGGGGGGGGTAATGCTCTTACTGATTTTAAGACTCTTCGGCTTCATTGGAGCCATCACAATTGTTGTCCAGTTAGAAAGGACAAGGTTGATGTTGGGAAGATCTGGTGGGTTCCTCCTCCCTTCCTTCTTCTCCCTTCCTCTATCTTTTTTATTTCTCCCCCTGCCCCTTAGTTACTTCTTTGCTGATCTTTTTAATTTATTTTTTTCTTAAACAAAATCTCTAAGTTTTTTTTTAACGGAGCTGGGAGGGTCCTTCCCCTTCTTCCAACCTCTTCCTTGCCCTCCTCACAACCCTTTTCCCTTTAAAAGTCCTGGACTGCTGTGTTCTCTTTGTCTTGTTCATCAATCCACTGTCTTTCCTTCTTTCTTTTATTTTCTTTTTTGCAGTTGATTTCCTTATTTGTATGTCCCTGACTTCTTCCTCCTATTCCCCCTGCCTCTTTGTCTCTCTCCCCTCCCAACACACAGAAAGAGAAGAATTAAAGTGTATACACACGCCAGGGGAAAGTCAAGAGTGTTTGAAAGACTTCTTTCCTCTTTTCTCCCTGACTTTCATTTTTCAAAGTCGGGAAAATGGATTGAGAGCTTTGAATGCACAAAGGGAGGAATTTTTCAGAGGGTCAGGTTTTCGGGGTGAATATAAGATCTTTCACACTTTTCCTTGGAAGTGAGTTTCTCGAGGTCAGGGGCCATTCACTTCCAAGGACAAGAAATAGATTTCTAAGATCTACAGAGACACTCGCTGGAACGCCTCAGCAAGTGAGAGTCCAAAAGTGGCAGACTCAAACCCAGAACCTCAATCAATGGCTGATACCAAATGAGAAACTCCCTCCTGGGCACACAGAAGACTGGGCAACTTGGAAGGTGCTGAACAGACCTTCTCTAGCACCACAAGATGCAGAACGAACCTTAAGAAATGGGGCTACAAAGTGGAGTCCACGACATGTGAGTGTGGAGAAGAAATTTTTTTAAATAGATCATGAAAGAGGAAACTGGGGGGCAAGAGGAGAAATAAGTAATATAGACAGAGGAAGGGAGAAGAAGGGAGGGAGGAGGAACCCACCAGATATTCCCAAAATCAACCTTGTCCTTTCTAACTGGACAACAATTGTGATGGCTCCAATGAAGCCGAAGAGTCTTAAAATCAGTAAGAGCATTATCACAGACCACCTATTACAATTCGGTCTGAGCCTTGCCACATGCCCAATGGAGAACCTTCTCATAGCAAGACTAGAGGCACTCCAAATGGTTGGCTAGTGATCAAAGGACATTTAATTGAATGCCAAGTTTTCAAACTTTGTGTGTGTGCGTTTTTTTTTTAATACAATACAACTGTTTGGTTCGCTCCTGATACAATAAATAAATAAGTTTCAAGGGAGGGGGTGGAGTAAAGGCCTGGATTGGGGATCTTTTTCTCTCTCCTCAGCAGATTGTTCCTAGAGCAGTTTAGTTCCTGGATTTGGGAGATTGGTTGAGAGATTGGGTGGCTCATTTTGTCACTGTGTGTGTAAGAGAGAGAGAAATTTACACTGAAAGAATCTTTGTGTGTGTGTGTTCCTTGGCTGGGCTCCAGTCCTCATTATGTTTTGAGGTGGCCTAGAGAAACCACCTTGAGGTGACTGGCTTGACTTTGAAGAAACTGGGGGTGGCCACAGCCGACAGGGAGCTCTGGCATGGGCTGGTCCATGAGGTCACAAAGAATCGGAAGCGACTGAACGAACAAACAACAACAAAGAGAAACCAATTGCTTTTTCAATTGCCTGACATTGGGCAAGGAATGTCCCCTCCACAAAACAGATGGCCAGTTTACTCTTGAGTCAACCCACTGAGCTGAAGTGATGGTAGAGAGCAAGAGTAAGGAGGTGCATTTTTGCCACTGTGCATTACATTCGCCAGCAAATACTTTTTCTCCTTTCAGGGTTTTGAAAATTGAGGTGCGTATTAGAATTGATGGTGCATTAGACTCAAGTAAATAAGGGTAAAATGCTTGTTTTCGTCTTCTCTCATAAATCAAGATAATTTATCATTTTTGCACTGGAATATCTAAATGTAAATGGTCACACTTACAACATCCTTGTTCATCAGAGTTGTCACTACAATCCAAATTCTGGTCACATTTCTTGTTCTTCCCAATGCACTGACCACTGGAACATCGGAACTGATCTGTTAAGCAAAGCACTAGAGAAAAAAGATAAATAATGTTTCAATAATACAAATAAACAAAACAACACTCTATTCCCTGTGTAATTCAATCTTTCAAAAAGATGGATCTGGTTAGAAATATCTGTGCAATCACAAACTGCCCATGAATAACATTATTTTACTACTTGAGAGTGGTTGGGGCACAGAGTTTCAAATGATTACTACTAAAAAGACCATATGATGAAATGGGCGCAGAGCATTGGGCATAATATTGAAACGAGTACATGGGACTACATATGGAAAAGGGGGATATATTTCGCCTGTAACTATGGCCTTCATGAGAATTTTTATAAGATAATGTATCATTTGTATATGATGTCAAAACGACTAGCCAAAATCCAATTTAAGCAAAATAATATTTGTTGGAAATGTAATGCAAGATTTTTTTCAATACATGGTATCAGCAGCCAAGATATTATTTGCAAAATATTGGGAGACAACAGACAACGCCAACAGTGGAAGAACAGAAAACGAAGCTCATGGAACTCTCCAAATTGGAAAAGCTGTCCAGACGGAACAGAATCAGGATGCAAATAATTTCAAAAAAAGTTTTGTTTTGTTTCATGTAAGGAGCGACTTGAGAAACTGCAAGTTGCTTCTGGTGTGAGAGAATTGGCCGCTTGCACGGACGTTGCCCAGGGGATGCCCAGATGTTGGATATTTTATCTTCCTGAGGGAATCTTCTCTCATGTCTCTGCATGGGAAGCTAGAGCTGACAGACGGGAGCTTACTCCACTCCCTGGATTCAAATCAATCACCTTTTGGTCAGCAGTTCAGACCGCACAAGGGTTTAACCCATTGCACCACCTGAACCATTAACTGTCTACTTGGAAAATGTAAAAATAACAACAATTGGCTTCTTAAATTGAATTAAGTACATTGAACTGATAAAGGATTCAAGTTGAACAATTGATGGAAAGAATCTTCCAACATTATTGATTTACCTCTACCCACAAACAAGTTACCTATCATTTTTCCATTCCATTTTTTTTGTAAATAGAACAATATACTGAAAATATATCTATCTATCTATCTATCTATCTATCTATCTATCTCTCTCTCTCTCTCTCTCTCTCTCTCTCTCTCTCTCTATATATATATATATATATATATATATAAAAATGATTACTGCTAGATGACAGTCCCTGTCATGTGTCAGAGATTCACAAGACAGCAACCTTGTAATGTAAGGTCTAATCTCCATTTGTAAGATTGTATTTTTAGATTTTTTTTCTGGCTCAAAATAGTTAGAAAAATGTGGTAACTTGATTACTTTTTGTGTAATTGTTGCCATCATGGAATATACTGCTTTGAAATTAGCTCCATAATTTTTTAAACATCCTGTACCTTTCTACTCTGTCACCAGTGTATGAAGTACAAAGCACCACAAATGAAATTAATATACAAAAACCAAAAGAAAAGCTATATAAACTCACTAAAATGTACAGTTTCTAGAGACAGCAGAAGTTAATTTTATTTACCACAGAAACAGACTTTTCTAGGTTCAATGTTTTATTTTTGATGTTATTATAATGCAAACAACATATGGAACTAGTCACAGTATACTGGAACAAACATATAATTCAACAAGGTTTTTGTTGTCAGGAAGTATTACAAATTTCTGTACGTCCCCCCTCCTTTACCCCCCCCCTTTTTTTTTTTACTAAAAAACAATGATTTTGTATTGGAAACATTGATACCTTCACATTTCTTTTCATCTGAGCTGTCTTGGCAATTTGGTTCTCCATTGCACTGAAGGGCACTGTCAATGCACTGCCCACTGTCGCACTGGAACTGGGACTCTGAGCATACAGGGCAGTTTCTTTCATCACTGGCATCTTCACATTCAGTGTACCCATCGCAGCGCCACGCTACAGGAATGCAGTCAATCTCTCCTGTGAAACACGTGAAGTGCTGTGGGGAGCACGTTGGTGGTTCTGTTACCAAAAAAGAAGAAGAAGAGGTTTGTGGGGTTTTTTTTGTTGCCGCTTTGCTAGTCTAAAGGAGGAGATTCCATCTGAACATTAGGAAGAATTTCCTGACTGTGAGAGCTGTTCAGCTGTGGAACTCTCTGCCCTGGAGTGTGGTGGAGTCTCCTTCTTTGGATGCTTTTAAACAGAGGCTGGATGGCCATCTATCAGGGGTGCTTTGAATACAATTTTCCTGCTTCTTGGTAGGGGGTTGGACTGGATGGCCCATGAGGTCTCTTCCAACTCTATGATTCTATATAAATAACAAATCTGACCAAGTGACTGGGGAAGTTATAAGATACTTCTGGAAAAAAGAAATCAATGTTTATTTGAACAGCACGTTGAAGAGAACTGGAGCACTATACCACGCTTTGAGTCTCTTTGTGGAGAGAAAAAGCAGGATATAAACATAATAATAATAATAATAATAATAATAATAATAATAATAATAATGTATTCACTATATCCAAAGTAGGCACTGAACAATCCAGTGGCTCGCTACATATATATTTGTATGCTTTCTCTCTTTCCTTTTCCTACTTTATTTGCAGGCAAGATCAGTGCTATGCTACTTTGACATGATGGATATTTTTTTAATATAAAAGTAACATTCATTGTATAACTGTAGTATATACTGAAAATTATAATTACAACAGTTACAGGGAAAGGAAAAATCATATTGACACTACATGTATACTTATGAGTAGAGCTTGAAATCAAACACACAACTGTTTTCTTTCATAATTTGCCAGTACAGGATCCTAATCTAAATCAGCATGCTAGCAGAGGGTAAGTTTTAAAAAGTGTATATTTTTTTGGGTAATGCAAATGGTAGGCTTGGGTCCTTGATTCTGTTTGGGAATCTGGGCTGGGACAAAGAGCCAGTCCTAAGTAGACCTTTAGCATGGGCGCTTAGATGTTTCTCCTAAGCACCCATGCTAAAGGTCTACTTTGGACTGGGTCCCTTATGCTAACAATCTGATACAATAATATCAAAACCCCAAAACCTGTACTCAAGGCTCGAGTAACATGGGAAAGGCAACATATTTTGAAGACAGCTATTCCACAATCTTATATTAGTATGGTATCATTGAGGGGTATTTTAAAAGCTCAGCAATTGGATATTAGAAAAACAAAGATTAGGCCATACTTGCAAATATCTTCTCTATAGAAAAGTGGCAAGTTATTACAGACAGGTGTGTGTGTGTTGGGGAGGGGAGATGACAGTAGCCTGCAACGATCTGTTGTTTTGCATCATGCAAACTGCAGATTAAGGACACACATTTCAGGTTTTGCTGTTACAATGACTCCTTATTATATCTCCATATTTCTTTCAACGTAAGAGTATTGCTTTCAGTGCAGACCATTTGTGTCTCACATTCCAATGCTCTACAATAATTCTAAATTTAAAAAAACACTAAAAAAGATATAATGTACAACAGATGGATACACCGTGACTCAGTGTCTAGTTATGTACTTTCTATAACTGTGTTCAGTAAGGCCAGATTCAGCACAAATCCTCTCCCTGCAACTCTTGTCTAACTGACTGACTACTGCTATTTTAATGCAGCTGTTCACACTTAATTCACATAAAGTTTTGCTACTACCGATCATATGCAGTGAATATATTACTCCCATTGCTCTCTCATCACATGGATGAGGTCCAGTATAGTGATTCGCCAGCCTCCATGGCGAATCAGGGCGGCAGCGGAGCAGCAGTGGGGAAGTGTCGCTGTATGACTGATGCCAGCGGAACTCCCATCGTTCCTTACAGAACACGGTGAGGTTTCCATGTTGGCGGCAGCAGCATCCTTCCATGTTTCTGCCTCAATTCACCCACAGAACCTCAATGGAGGTCACCCTATATCGTCTGATGGGTGGCATGGGGCCAGATGGGTGAGCTGGGGCAGAAGTGTCCTAGGGCCCTTTTCTTGCCTTGTGTGATGAAGCTCGTTCTCTCTCTTTCTCTCTCTCTCTCTCTCTCTCTCTCTCTCACTCACACACACACACACACACACACACCGCTTTCTGGTTCTGCATTAAATGTCTAGGGAAAACATACTTGGATTATCTCATTCCAGTATGTGCATGTTTCATACAACACAGTTTTATCTGTTATTCAAGATTAACTAGTTTAGAAGTTGCAAGAGAACAGCTTTAGATCTACAAATCGATCTTGGAATAACTTGCAGTAGATTGGCAAGGATGTCTGATTTCTAACTTCTTAAATATATAATGGGTTCTCAACAATAAATTCTATTGCAAAAATCAATAAAATTTTGGATAACTAGATTAGATTTTTTGTATGCAAGAAGCATACATTCTATTCATTTCTGCCTACACTAGATCTCTCCCTTAACAATAGTTAGAAAGAACAGGTCACTGGTTTATGTCCATGTTCCCTCGCTTGGCAGGCATGGGAAAACTTTCTAACTTGGGGGCCGAACGGTGGGTCAGAGTGGAGTGGGCAGACCAGGAGGAAGGAGGTTCTCCCCAAGTCCCCTCCCTGCTCTTTCCTCCCCTTCCATTTCTCTTTTGGAGGCAGAAAGGGAAGGAAAGATGGAAAATGTTTGAATCCCATAATAATTAGCCTTTGTTAGGATGAGATGGTGGATGGTAGAGAAAAAAAGTCTCGATTAGTCCCCATATTGCCTACTCCGAATATATAATCCTAGAATCCTCGAGCTAGAAGAGATCTCCAAGGGCCATCCAACCCCCTGCCATGCAAGAAGGCACAATCAAAGCACTCCATAAAGATAGCCTCTGCGAAAAAGCCTCCAGAGAAGGAGTCTCCACCACACTCCCAGGCAGCCTACACCACTCTCCCAACAGCTTTTACTCTCAAATCTCTTTTGGTCAAATCTCTTTCCCTGTCATTGGAAACCACTTCTCCCTTGTACCCTGGTCTCTAGAGCAGCAGAAAGTCAATGTCCCCCCTCCCTCCTCCTCAATGGGACACCCTTTAAAATTTTAAAACATGGTTCTCAAGTTCCCGCTCTACCTTCTCTTCTCCAGCCAAACATCCCCCAGGAGGAAAGGAGGAAGCAAAAAGAAAAGGAAGGAAGATAGGGAGGAAGAGAAGGAAGGGAATGGAGGGAGGGAGGGAAGGAGGGGAAGACAAAAGGGAGGGAGGGAGGGAGGGAGGGAGGGAGGGAGGGAGGGAGGGAGGGAGGGAAGGCAGGCAGGCAAGGGAAAGAGGGAAGGAAGGACGGACAAAAGGGTGGGAAGAAGGAGGGAGACAGAAGGAGGTAAGGAAAAGAGGGAGAGAGGAAAGGAGGAAGGAAAGATGGTATAACATTGAAAAAGAAGGGGAGAGAAAAACATACCTCCACAAGAAAGTTCATCTTGAAGCAGGACAAGGTGTATGGGGCAAGAACAACGTGTGGTTCCGTCACCTTTCACAATACAAATATGTGAACAACCTCCATTATCCTGGGAACAAGGGTGCAGTTCTGCAAAATAATGTAAGAGTAGAAAATGCTTAATGTATGAAAGCTCCTCTTTAAAAAGATGACAGCTTGCATTAGAGACTTTCAAATCAGATTCCAGGAAACATCCTGAGAACTTGGCAATGGATTCTTCCTCATGGAGACAACTAGTGGCAGACAAATTCCTGTCCAAGGCAGCGTGCCTGCCAACATTGCATTTTCTGCTGAAAGATTAATTCTTGAAAGCTTTGAATCAGAACCGGCTAGAATTTAGTATTAGGATCTATTTGCAAGACTATTGTTCCTTCAGAAAAATATGAAGTAACCTCTAATCATAAACACAGAAAACAATTACTGGGTAAAGTTCAGGTGTCATGTTTGAAGGATTAGAAAAGACAACACTTTTCATGTGTAAATATATGTATATATCCTGCCTTTCATTCAAGAAACCAAGGCAGCATACAAAATACCCGAGCATTCCCTTATTCAGTCTCTGAAGAGACATAGAATTCTTGAACCACGAGAGTGGGTGTGCAATATGTTGTCTGATGGAGCTGAAAATCATAGAGTGTACTGTACAGCAAATAGCTCTTAACTCTGAATGCCATGGACCAGTCACTTACTATATTCCTGCATGTTGAGTTCTTTAACAGCATGTATATCACTGAGTTGAGCAATGCGAGCCTGAACTTTTGTACGTCTGTCTTGACGAGTCATGTCAATTTTTTCAATCATCTGCTGATGTCTATCAATCCAGTAGAGCCAATTTTCAAACACTGTCAGTCCTATAGGTTGGAGTATGTTGGAATCTTCTAATACTACACGATTGGCACCTTTAGAAAGAAAGAAAAATAAGGTTGAAAACTGAGCCACATCCAGAACAGTTTACATTCATTTCGTATTTGTATTCTCAAAGAGGGTTTTCTCACCTTTGTTGCAAGCTATATCAAAACTACAAACAAGTCACATCAGATAAATCTTATCCGTCTCTGACAGAGTCACAAGCTTGGAAGATTAAGGGAATGTTGTGGATATCTTGATTTCAGTAAGGCCTCTGAAAAGGTTTCCTGTGATATCCTCACAAAGAGACTAGTAAAATGTGGGCTAGACCAGAGCTTCTCAATCTGTGGGTTGTGAATCCCTATGAATATGGGTTGCTGAACAAACAATGACCACAAAAAATGTGCACCCCATCACCTAATGGCTCTTTTAGATATTTACATGAATCTGTTTGTAACAATGTGCAGTGCATAATAAACAGTGGACTCTGCAGCAAATGCTTCAGATGGACTTCATAAAAAGGGAAAATTAGTAAACCTTGCAAATGGAACAAGTTACAATTGTCATTATTGGGCAGACTGTTTTTGATAAAAATGAATGCATTGTCACAGATTCTGTTTCTTTTTCAACCAATCCCTGCGATAGCTACGGATAAACCATTTAAACAACGGCAAAGGGATGTATCTAAATTTGTATGGCAAGGGAAGAAGTCAAGATTTAAGTCTTAGCTAAAATACTTTAAACCAGGAAATATTTATGTTGGAAATGTGAGAAGGAGAAAGGTACACTTTATATATGTTATGGAAATGTGAAAGAGTTAAGAATTATTGGAAGATACATGATACAACTTATTGTGTCTTATAATTAGAACTAGAATTTACACAGCAGCTGTATCTTCTCAACACAACAGATGAACAAATTAAAAAACTTACAAGAGAATAACTATGTACATGACCACAATGGCACGGATAATACGGGCAAAAAAGTGGAAAATAACTGAATCACCTTTTATCCATGACAGGCAACTGAAATTAAGAGAAACGATGGAAATCGCTTACTGCGAAATAAGCAATGACCACATATTAGCTGCACTTCCCACCTTCCAAAAAAAGGGGTTATGACTACTATGCTGTTAAAATTTGGGGCCTACAGGGCCTCCCCAGGTCAGCAGCCAAGGGAGATTCCCACAGACATCTTCCACACGCATGCTGGCTGGCCAGAGCTAGGAAGCCTTCCTCATCTGGCAGCCGCCAAAGGACACCTCCTAATTCTCACTCTTTCACTCACCTGCAAGCCTGCCCCTCGGAGCTACAAGGCTACTCCAAGGTAGGTAGGAGGGGGTGTGACTATTATGCAAGAAATTTTGAAACCTATACGTATCCCTGTTTTTGGGGTCCTGATTTGGGGATTTCAGAATTTCTCGCATAATATTATGCGATTGCAACTATTACGCAATGAAATCTGGGCATTTGGTTTTAAACTGAGTAAATCGGAATTTGAATTGCAATTATGTACTACCGAAGAACATTTAATTGCTAAGATGTGTAAGATGTTGTTGAAATGGGAAATGACAGAGGAACGAGTTAAAGAATGTATGATTAAGAGGATACAAAATGTTGGGCACAATATATGGTTGGATCAATGGGGAAAATGTGGACTAAAGGGTAAAAAAATTACATATGTTATAACTTAGAAAAGAATGTCTATTCAATGTTAGACTGATGGTATATAATTTATAAAAGCTTTCTAAAATGTGTGGTGAACATGTAATTAAGTCAAAAAATACTGCATTCAAATCTCTAAGTTGATTCAGAAAACTTCAGGTGGGAAAACAAGTTAAAACCTGAGACCTTTTTTTATTTGAATTCACTAAATTGGTAAATTGTTGAAATACACAGCAGAAATTGAAAAAATCAATACCAACAACAGAAGACTTTATGATAAAAATGTTGGACTTGGCTGAGATGAATAAATTAACTTGCATATTAAAAGAAGGGACATTCGAAAAAATTGCAATTATTTTAAACTCTTTAACTTTTTGCAAGAAGAAGAAAAAGATTTACCAATAGTAAGTTTTGAAGACTAATTTGAAAAGTTTTTGATGCCTACATTATTCTTTACAACTGAATGAAGACATGTATTGTGAAAGGCTTTCATGGTTGGAATCACTGGGGTGTTGTACGGTTTCCGGGCTGTATGGTCAAGTTCTAGCAGCATTTTCTCCTGACATTTCACCTGCCATGGAGATCCTCTGAAGATGCCAGTTACAGATGCAAGTGAAAAGTCAGGAGGAAATGCTGCTAGAACATGGCCATACAGCCCAGAAACTACACAACACCCCACTGTGAAGACAGACCAAAGTCAACTAGTTTTTTAAAAATGCTGGAAAAGCACAAAGCATCCCTGACAGATGGCCATCCAGCCTCAGGAAGGAACTTCCACCACAGGCAGTGAGTTCCACTGTTGAACAGCTCTTACAGTCAAGGATGTTCTTCCTGATGTTTACTTATCTTAATTATATATTCTCTTGATTCTTTTTCTTTTTTTTACTTTTAATGTAACTTTAATTTTTTTAAATACAAATAATAAAAAAAAGAAAATGGGGAAATAAAAGGCATTGGATCTCAATCACATATTAGAAAGCAAAGATGGGCTACTATACCTGAAAGATCACTGCTCTCAATTCTTCGCAAGTCAGAATCTGCCCAGAACAGCTTGCCTAGCTGGCTGTCAACTGCCAAGGCAACTGGCTTGCTCAGTCCATTAGAAAAGAGGACTTCACGTTCAGTTCCATCCAATGCTGCCCTTTCTATTTTAGGAGGAGACCTTTCCTGGAGATTGGTAAAATACATGTACCTGTAAAAACAAAGTTAGAGGATTTAGGTCATCTCCTTTAATTCCTCCCTTTCCTATCCTCTTACTCAATTCCCAAATGTTCTGCACCCTTTTGATTAAATTACTGAAGTATGAGCTAATGAATTCCAGCATTCTAAAATGAGAAAGCAAATAATTTTGCATCATTTGTTTTGTGAGTGTTTATTTATTTATTTGAAACATTTATATTCCGCCCTTCTCACCCTGCAGGGGACTCAGGGTGGAGCACAACACATATACAGCAAACATCCAATGTCAGGACATAAAATCATAAATATACACAAACATTAAAATCACTTACTGTATATACTCGAGTATAAGCCTAGTTTTTCAGCCTTTTTTTAGGCTGAAAAGGTCCCCCTCGGCTTATACTCGAGTCAAGGTTATTTATTATTTTACTCTGTTGTTGTTGTTGTTGTTGTTATTATTATTTCATTTATTATTTTATTCTATTTATTATTATTACATTTATCATTTTACTCTATTATACATGTATTATTTTACTGCATAATTTTTATTGCTACATTCATTATTTTACTCTTTTTATTATTGTTGTTATTACATTTATTATGTTACTCTCTTTATTATTATTGGAAGAATACATAAGCACATTTACATTGAAGAAGGTAAATAATCATTTAATCAGAGTTGGACAGCCTTATCTTAAATTACCATTTTTGTAAATATTCAAAAATATATAACCTACTGATTCCTCAATTAATGTAATTTAATTGGTATCTATTTTTATTTTGCAATTTACCCGTAGCGGCTGCATTTCCCACCCTCGGTTTATACTCGAGTTTTTTATGGTACAATTGGGTGCCTCGGCTTATATTCAGGTCGGCTTATACTCGAGTATATACAGTATATCCACTTTAAAACCAGTTGCTTAAAAACCATCTCAGAACACCATTCCATTATTGCCTCATTGCACTGCCCCAAAGTACCGATCTGCTCTTGGAGTTCTTCCAAATGTCAACTCAAAGCAAACATATGCCTTGACCTCAAAATTGCTACTGGGTGAGACAAAAGAGAAATAAAAAAATTGTCTAAATAGGAGCTTATAACCACACTGAGCTCTAATATGTAGGGAAAGGTTTAAATAACACATTTTTCTTGCTTTCACCTCAAAAAACACATTTCAAATTTAATTTATAGATATAAAAGTGGTCTCAAAGGTGAAACGGAATTTAAGATAACAAGGACATAAATCCTATAGTCCCCATGAGGTCATACTGCAAGCTTTCCCTTTCATGAGAAGAAAGGAAGATTCATTTCAAGAGGATGTTCCAGGGCAATGATTGTTTCTTGTCCAGCAGAAAATGTTCTACTATGGGGCAAGAGAAAATAGTTGGGGCTTTTGCAACTGCCTGGAAAATAATTTTAGTGGAGCGACCAAAGTTATTTTTCTTCCCAATAGAACCAAATGGAGAATATCTGAGAAAAAAACTAAACAGAAAAAAGTATGTTCGTCAACCTTCCTCTCTTTCTATAACGAGGCTGGTAGGATCATGAAAGTAAATGGTCCGTGCACCAGTGAAGTGTCTTCATCTAGATGTACATTGATTTGCTCCATCCTATATTAAGAGGTCTACAGCTACAACTGAATTTCAACTGAATATAATGAGCTGGCTTGTACAGAATTATTATTGTGTGCCTTCAAGTCATTTCTGATTTATGGCAATCGCACAGTGAACACATCATGTGGTTTTCTTGTCAAGATTTATTCTAAAGAGCTTTGGGACTTTGTTTTCCACACATCAAGGTTCAGTTCAGTTTTAAGGTCCTTTTCTATATGCATCTATCAAAATGGAGGCTGGTCTCAGACAAAGGCACAGTTGGGTCCCACTCAAATCAAGATAAACAATTACTCATGAGCCCATTTGGATCAATAAGGTAGACAGCACTAGCTTAGCTAGAGTCAACTAATCTCTGGTTTGTCCCTTTTTACATCTTACTCAACCACAACAGGTTTTAGATCACATCTGTGGATGCAATAATAACCTATAGCTTGTTCCCCATTTGATGGAGATGCTCTGTAAAGAATGTGAGGATCCTTCTTTTTCTACTGTGTTGGTACTGAAAGATAATGGATCAAAAATTGTTATGATATGGTCTGTATATAATAAAGGGCACTTGAATTTGGTGGTGGATTGAGGCATAGGATTCTTGCACAAAAAGATTCATTTTTACCATTTGCAATGTGAATAAAAACATCTTAAATTCACAAAGACCAGAGAAGACAATAATAACTGAACAGACCGAAGGAAGCAAGGGAAAAGAGGACCTGGTCCTTAAGCAAGAATTCACCATGCAGTACTCCACCTACCCTTTCTCTGGATTCACAACAATGGCCCTGGGCCGATCCTGATCACTTTTCAGCACTACTCCCATCGGCTTCCCATCTAGGCGTGTCACGTTGATTACATTGGTGGCCTCACAAGTCCAATAGATGTAGCGGCTGTAGATGTCAATGCTCAGATCATAAGGTTGTATATCTAGGTTCTGATTTGGAACTGGACTCATCACAACTGTGAAGCTCTGAGAGTAAAGAGACAAGAAACAGATTGATTCAAGGAAACAAGCAGAGGAGAACTGGACATTGTTCTACAGCAAGCCAATGCACAATTCTTCTACCAAACTACAGAAAAGTGATGAACCCTGCTGATGCTCATGCTTCTGCTTCTAATGTCCAAAAAGCGGAATAGCATAGAGCTCTCCCTATGCTATTCCCACACACCTTATTTCTGAACTCTCTTTTTTGATATTATAGGAAACATGACTCACTCTATATTCTATTTTGCAGAACCATAGAGTTGGAAGAAACAAGATGAGCCATCCAGTTCAAATCCTTGCCGTGTGGGACGAGCACAATCAAAGCCACACACACACACACATACACCCTGGCAGATAGCCATTTAGCCTTTGCTTAAAAACTTCCAGAGAAGGAGTTTCCAAGGCAGCATATTCCACTATGAATCAGCTCTTACTGCCAGAAAGTTCTCTGTAATATTTAGGTGGAATCTTTTTTCCTGCAATTTTCTGCATTCTCCATATACTAGTCTCCAGAGTAATAGAAAACAAGCTTGCTCCCTCCTCATTGTGACATCATTAAAAATATTTAAACATGGCTGTCACATCCCTTCTCAGTCTTCTTTTCTCTAAAAATACCCAGCTTCCTAAGTCATTCCTCATAGGGCTTGGTTTCCAAACCTTTGATCATTTTGGTCGCCCTTCTGTCTTCTGGTCACATGTACTGTTTTCAAGACAGGTGTCACCTATCCTGTGCCTGTACATTTCATTTTTATTCCCTTTCATTTTTATTGCCTCTTCCTCCCTTGTATGCTGTAGTGTGGATACATGGGCCTCTAGACTTCCAAAAGGGCCAGCAACTTGCATTTCTACAAGTATAGTTGCCCACATCCTCTGGCAAGAATACAAACATTCCACAACTGTTGCAGGTAATTGCATGAGCTCCCTCACCATCCATTCTAGCAGAATTAAGTAGGGAATTAAGGAGATAATTGAACAGAAATCTGGACTTCCCTCACCTCCCCCCCCCAACACACCCTCATGCCTGTTTGTCTTGTCTTATGTGCCAACCTCCTGATCCTGTATTTAACTTCTTTAACTTTCAAGTAAATCTAAGTAATTTACCAGTCTGAACAAAAGCTATTTTTGATTTTAACTCATCAGTTTGTAACATACTATATCTATTGAAAACCACAATATCAGAAAGCCATTTAATATGCATATTCAGAACATATCTCTTGCTTTCAAAATTTAACATCAACATGCTCATTTTTAAGGAACTAGTTCTAAGTGTTTCTCCAGAATAAGGTATAGGACATCAAAAAGATTTATAAAATGTTTGAAACATCCCTTCTACCCTATTTCCCAATCCTGTTGCAAAACCAAACTATCCATGTTTAGATACCTGGCTGCCATCCTCTTGTGATCTCCTGATAACATTCTGTCTGGAGTCAATCCAGTACAGCTGCTTGTCTAGTGGGTCATAGTCGATGGCTCGAACATTTCTGAGGCTGTGGATTGGAAGGATGATATCTGGACTCTGCAGCTCATCTATCACCATGCGATTGATTGCATTCTTCTGACTGAAGAGTAAGAAACTTGTAGGAGCTGATATTTAAATACAAACAAATACAAAAGAGGACAAGCAATTGGACAAAAATGCCTTAAACAAACAAAAGTATTTAAAGAAAAGTGCTTACAGAAATTACAGTTAACAAACACTTTTGCAAAAGAGATATTATCTAGCAAACAGGAGCTCTACTTCTATGATAATGATGGCATGGAAGACAACAATGAAATCATGGCTTCATACTCTAAAAGCTACTAATCAGAATTTGTCAGATTGAATGAGAAAGGAAACTATGGCAAGCAAAAGCTTTCTTTCTTTGGTTGCACAAAGTGAGGAGCAAGGCATGCAGGGTATTCACATGATATTTAATCTTTGTTTAATAAAATAAAACCACACTACCTGAGTATAGTTATATATTTGGTAAACACAACTGACTCAGCCAAGACACATGGTTTATAATCCTATTCTGACGGTAGACTTTTGTCTGAGCACTCAGTAGTAAACCAGGGTCTGGATTCAATAAGAATTGCTACTGGAGATCCGTTGGGGAACAACACTGGTGCAAACCAGGCTGTTTGCGGAGTCAATTCTCACTCAAATCCCAGCATATTAACATTGGGGTCTTAGAAAAGGATGTTGAAGGATGTTGAAGGAAATCACAGAAGATACGTAACAAAAAAACTTTCCCCACAAGGGAAAGGACTGGGAGAAAGAACTTCCAGAACAGTACATGCAGTGCTTACTTAGTTGTCTAATTCATTATACAATTTGTCTTAGGTTCCAAAGGTACTCTGGGCAGGTGCAGATTACCCCGTTTATGTGATTCACAGAGACCGTGAAGAAGAAATAAAAATATTGATCCACAGTTAGTGTAAGATTTACTGTCATTATATAAGCAATGCATATACCATATGTAATATATCCTGGGCACACAGGATGAAGCCTTTATTTTAAAAAAGTTGCTGACTTTTAATATATAATCTGCCTGAACCAGGCTCCCCAAGACTTCAATAAATCTCTTTGGCATTGTAAATATTTATGGGACTTCATTTGGTGTATTCCTAGTTCTACCACAACAGCTGCAATTCATTTTGGTCTGCATCTGAAATATTACTGTAGTTGTACTCAAATCAGAACCACAAAAACACAGTAGTCTCTATACCACCTAAATTGTTATTTATGTTTATGGCTTACCGCTACATGTTTTGTTGTCAGAGTTCAAGGAATAGTGTGCTGGACATCCACAAACAAAACCACCAACAGGCACTGCCAAGCAGAGGTGGGAGCAATGCCCGTTACTGGAAGCACACTCATTCCAGCCAGCTTGCCGGGATGAATGGAAGACTAAGATATCCATCACATAATCCAAGTGGTTTTGGATTATAGTTCTGTTTTGGCCACTGGTTTTGTTGGCACGCTCAATGCTACGCCGGCTCCAATCTGTCCAGTAGATGTAATCCTGATATTGAGTCAGGCCAAATGGATGAGGTAGGTCATCTGCTATAACATCTCGGTCAAGACCTGTTTTAAGTGAATGAAAAGAATGTTGAAGTATACTGAGCATCTGAGTTAACAATACGTTTCTCTACACTGCAAATCAAACTATATAAGGAAGCACACTATGCCACTACTAAAGCAGCTCCATTGGTTGCCAATAAGTTTCCGGTCCCAATTCAAAGTGCTAGTTCTCACCTATAACACCCTAAACAGCTCGAGTCCCGCCTATCTTCATGACTGTATCCTCCTATGAACTGGCGTGGGCTCTAATATTTGCTAGGGAGGCCCTCCTCTCAGTCCCACCACTGTCACAATTGCAGCTGCTAGAGATGAGGGAGAGGGCCTTCTCAGTGGTGGCCCCCGACTTTGGAACTCCCTCCCCAGTGAGACTATACAGGCCCCCACACTGCCCTCCTTTCGTAGGGACTTGGAGACATGGTTCTTCAATCAAGCTTTTGAGAATATTTAGCCCTAGTTGTCCTGTATAGTAGTGGCACATTCTGCACTTTATCCCATGTCCTCTCTCCATTACTGCAGTTAGCATTTAACTTATTCCTAACGTTTACAGAAATTTATCACCATGGTTAAAGAATCACAGTTTGAGCGAGTCTGAATTGATATTTTTATATGTGCATGTGTTTTTATTTTATTGTATTTTATATTGTGTCCACTTTTGTTTTTAGGCATTTTGTGCCGTCTGTAAGCCACCCCGAGTCTCTTCGGGGAGATGGTGGCAGGATATAAGAATAAAGTTGTTTTTGTTGTTGTTATTAAACAGACTCTTAATCAAATACATCTGTAGAGTTCTCTCATTCTGCATAAGTACTAACACACTCCAAACTCATTTCTTTCCCCATTACAAAATTCTGTGAAACTATGAAAATTAAATAAGATGTTTAATATGCACCTTAAAAATCAAACAAAGCATTTTAAATCTGACAGCATTACATTGTAAAATATACAGTCTACCATTTTTGTCTAAACACAGAAAACAATGTCATCACATTTCCTATCGTGTATAGTTCTAAAAAGTTAAAGATAAAGCACTGAGAATATAAATTATTAAAAAGTGAAATAATTTAAGATACATCTCCATCCATATGCTTCTGAAAGGTTTCTCATTTTTTCTGCTCAAGGTCTGCTCTGTTCTTGGAATGCCAACCACAGAATGGGAAAAAAGCTGACTGGAATATGTTATTTTCAGAAGAATACTTCTGTTTAAGTCTCAACATACTGAGCACCAAAATGAGCTTTGCGTCACCTTAAGGATAAGAAAGGAAGAGCAATATCCAAAGAGAGGGGTGTGAAGGTTAAGCAAGCAAGATGGATGAGATTTGCAGGAGCATTAAGTCTTTCATTTATTCCAGGGCCTACTTCACTACTTTGCCTGACCTAAAAAATAGTACTTTGCATCCATAGAAAAACTAAAAGTTACCTAGCATATTTGATGATTCAATCAGGTTTGTATCTAGATCAGTCCAATATAATCTTCTTTTAACATAATCGATTGTCAGTCCATTAGCTCGCCCCACGTTTGGCACCAAGGTACTGCGTTCACTACCATCCATTGCAGCTCTGTCTATTTTTGGCTTGCCACCCCATTCTGTCCAGTACATGAACCTAAAGAAACGAATCAAATATTGCGTAATTATCTTTTTTTTTTTTTAATGTAAGGAAGAAGGAATAGCCGGGGAATACAGCTAAATTGTATAACTTAAACATTAACTGAGTGGGCAACATAATTTCTTATAAGCACAGTTGAGGTTGTACCAGTCAGGAAGAATAATGTTGTTATATTTTAATTCCACTTTACTCTTAATATAGGACCCAAAGTGGTTCACAGTATAGATAGAAATACACAATTAAAACCGTGGATAATATATAAAGGCAGTCCCCGAGTTATAAACATCCGACTTACAAACAACTCATAGTTAAGAATGGAGGTAAGACAACAGGAAGTGAGAGAAATCTACATCTCAGGTCCCTTCCACACAGTCATATAAACCAGAATATCAAGGCAGAAAATCCCACAATATCTGCTTTGAACTGGGTTATCTGAGTCCATTGTTGTTGTTTATTCGTTCAGTTGCTTCTGACTCTTTGTGACCTCATGGACCAGCCCACACCAGAGCTCCCTGTCGGCCATCACCACCCCCAGCTCCTTCAAGGTCAATCCAGTCACTTCAAGGATGCCATCCATCTTGCTCTTGGTCGGTCCCTCTTCCTTTTTCCTTCCATTTTCCCCAGCATAATTGTATTCTCTAAGCTTTCCTGTCTTCTCATGATATCTGAGTCCACAGTGCCATATATTCCAGTTCAAAGCAGAAAATGTAGGATTATATTCAGCTGTGCAGAAGGGGCCTTGGAAGGGAAATTCACTCCTGAAAGAGTTATCATGGGGAGAAAGTGTCTCCACTGAAGCTGTATTAAGCCTTGTTTTCACAACAAGCCACGTTTTTCAAAATCCAATTATCACAGGGACAGAAGTGAGGCGAAATCCTCTGATCAGAGGCACTGATATCCAAGCAAACACCACAGAGGTGTTAACTTTCCTTATGCTATTCAAAGCTATACATTCCACCTTAAAACGTACCTATTCCAACTTACATATACATTCAACTTAAGAACAGACCTGCAGAACCTATCTTGCTTGTAACTTGGGGACTGCCTGTACATTGAAAAATATGACCATTGGTTATATCTTCAAATTAACATATTTTTGGTACTAATGTTCTAAAGAGGAATGTCTTAAATGCTTTTTAAAGGATTGTTTTAAAATACATTTAAATGGGGAAAACCACAGTGTTTTAAAATACATTTAAATGGGGAAAACCACACCCCCCCCCAACCACAGTGTTACAGGAGTATGCAGCCTTCCAGATGTTCGCAGACAGCAATATCCTGCAGTCACAGGTTACGGTAAGGAATGCAAGAAACTGTAGTCCAGTGGTTCTCAACCTGAGGGTCCCCAGGTGTTTTGGCCTACAACTCCCAGAAATCCCAGCCAGTTTACCAGCTGTTAGAATTTCTGGGAGTTGAAGGCCAAAACATCTGGGGACCCACAGGTGGAGAACCACTGCCTTAGTCCAAAAAACAGCAGTGGGTCCCCATCTCTGCACTATGCTAAATCCAATTAGTTATCAGCAGTTTATAAATTTCAATCCCAACAATGTGGTTTACAATAGTTGATAACATATAATACTTATACAATACAACCAGGTTCAATAAAAGCGGAATGAATACAACTGTAAATTATAAAACATCTGCCATTTTAAACAGTTTGTAATGAATACAAGTATCTAGTCCTTTAAACAGATAATTAATTTTAAATCCCTGTCCACCATTCAGGGAACTCAATTCTTTCTTTCTTTCTTTCTTTCTTTCTTTCTTTTTTGTTCTAGTTATTCCTTCACAGGTCAACATGTTTGAAAACCACTAGTATGAGCAAAAAGAGTTATTGTAGACTAGGATTCCTCAATGAGAAGAACTTTCCTGAAAGACCACTTGTCACCACTACTGATTATTTTGTGCATTGAAAACTGCAGAAAAAAATTCTTCTGATCCCAGATCACAGCTGAGAATGAATAGGATTGACCATTATGTGAACTGAGATTATATTGCAGACTGTGCTGTAGTAACACCGTACCCAATAAACCTTAGTAATGTGTAATGATCTCTCAGCTTGTTAATTGTACAGGGATAAGTGGAAAACCTTTGCCTATGCCAGTGCTTCCTCTGGGGTGCTGGAACAACTGGGGCCAGGGCGGTAATAGTCTGGGGTGCAATTCAGTGGCATTGAATAAAAAGAAGAAATAAAATTTTGAAAAACAATTCGTACATGTTTTATCTGTCGTGTATTAGAATTAATGTCATAGTGATTGCTTTACTTTTCAAATGAATACACATCATGCAAATTATAACCCATCAGTGGCCAAGCAAGTGTTGGCAGGCAAGCATGTTGTGTATCATCAGGAAGTCCAGTATTCGTCTAATTTAAATTAATTCTGAAATGTGTTGACAGAGAGTTAGTAATAATGCAATTGTAATAAGTATTTAATTTTTTTAATTCATGCTGCTGACAAAAACAGAACTGAACATTAATAAATTGATAGCAGCACACCACATTCATCTTTCTCATTTAGGATCATTTTTTATGTTATTCATAATTTTTATTTTTATATTACCCTTTGTTATTAATTTTTGTGGGTATTTGTGAATGTTACTATAGTTGGTTTTAATAAATAATTTTGTAATGTCAAGCATTAATGTGTCTTATTTACAATACTGTATTTCTTGACCCCACAGTAGGATGTAGATAGAAATACAGATACATAAAATAATACGCATTTGTCACAACACCTTCTGTTTGTTCTAGGGGGCGTTGGGGGATTTTTTAAAAGGGAGTGGTAGACCAAATAAGTTTGAGAACTTCTGTTCTATATTAACAGTCCCAGAGATAGTAATTGTTTTCTGTGTTGGATCATAATAAAATTGTTACAACATGTCGCGTTATCACTGAAGCTTCAAAATTAAGCAAATAGCCCACCCTTCAGCAGGATCCAGTGCCAAAGCCCGAGGACTATCAAGATCCTTCCACACAAGAACCTGGCGATGCTGTCCATCTAACTTTGACACTTCAATACGGTTTGTTCCTGTATCAGCCCAATACAGGTTTTTTCCTAGCCAATCCACAGCCATGCCTTCTGGGTAGTCTAAGCCAAACTCAACCACATGCTCCAGGGCACTTCCATTCATGAACGCTCTGCTGATGGTCTGCAAGAAAGGGATTGGGGGGGGGGGGAGATAGAATAAACACCATACATCAACATTTAGAAACCACTGAGAACAACTAATAAATTTCACATGAGATCCAGGGTCATCCAATGCAATGTTGACCATTGGTTAAATAATTCACTCTCTGGCCTGATCTACAACAGTGACAGTTTTCATAGTACTACCCTATTTGTAATACAGGCTGTGTCACAAGCTGTGGTGGGGATGCTGGTGGATATTTACACTAGTTTAGGTGCCCAGCAATGTCCAGATTAGATTATTAGAAAAAATATATAATTTGCTTTTAGATTTTATGAATGGTTCCATTAAAAAATGCATAAGGATATGGGCAAACGACCACTCCCATCATTCCAGGTCTATCGCCCCAAAACCCCACCAGTTGGTCATGAGAGGTATGTGAGCCAAGTTTGGTTCAGATCCATCTTCAGTAGGGTTCACAGTGGTCTCTGGATATGTATCTTGGAAAATGCATACAAACATAGATAGATAGACAGACAGACACACATTTTCACTTTTATTATAGACTATCTTAGGTACCAGGTGATATCCGGATTAGGGATTCTGTAATATTAAACATTAGTAGTAATTGTTTGGTTTTGAATTTTATAAATGGTCCCATTAGAAAATGTATTACGATGTGAGTAAACATCAACTCCCAACATTCTGGGTGCATTAGAATTGTGCTCCCAAACCCCCAGATTTTAGTTGCTCTGCTGCACCCCACTTCCCTGGCTGGCCAGTCAGCTGGTGGGACCCCGCTTCTCTTCCCCACTCACGTGGCTCCCCTTTGCCTGCCGCCAACCTGATTCCCAAAAGCACCGTCACTGTTGAAAGTTTGGAAGCCTCTGCCTGAAGGAGAACACAGTCTTCCTCTCTTCCGCCCCCTTCTTCTCTCCCCTCTTGAGAGGGTTCCAAACTCTCCAAAAGGATGCAGGGTGAGTCTGAGCCTCTACTCCCCCCCTCCCCCCGCATTGCTCTTGCATCATCACTGGGAAGAGGAGTTGCAAGAGAGCTGCTCTGCATCCCTTTGAAGAGTTTGGAAGGTTCTGCTCCAAAGATAATGCAGCCTTTCTCTCTTTCTTCCTCTCCACCTTCCCCGCCTTCTTTTTGCAATTCCTCTTCTCTGAAAGCAAAAGGGAGTGGAGAAGTGGGGGAGGCTCAGGCCTGGTCTGCAGAGTGGCCTTGAGAGTCAGTGTTTGTTGAGCTCCTTGTCGGCAATGAGCTCAAGAAAGCAGACCAAAGAAAGCAGGGAAAGGAAGAAAGAGGAAGGTTTCATTATATAGTAATTGATTATATAATTACATTATGTAATGCATTTTAACATCCACTAATTAAAGGTTTGTGGGCAGTCTATAATTTTGTTAATATATAAAATGCAGGAAAAACCACCATTACCTTTAATGAAATGTCTGTCCAATATATGCGATTATCAGTCACATCAAAATCTAGAGCAGAAGCTTCTTTAACTCCCGTGAGTGGAATTGCAACATTATTGTTGTTAGTCTCCAAAGAGATTCTCCTGATATCAGCTCTACGAGAAAACAGCAAAAAAGCTTCTGGGACTATGCAAGTCTTCATGTCACTTATGAGTTCCAGGCCTATGGGGCAGGCACAGCGCAAACCTTGAGGCCTGTACAGGCAAAGATGACTGCAACCCCCATTTGATTCTGCACAAGGATTTGTACCTAAAGGAAATTGAAACAAAATAATGTAGTTAAAGCTGACTTCTTATTACAACAGGGAAAACCGTCATCTTCCTATATGATAATAAGATGCATATCTTAAAATTACAGAAAAGCTAACTTCTTTATTAGTGCAACTGAAGAGTCATTGTTGCATGACTACTGAGCTGACTGATTCGGTCACAACTAAATATGGACACATGAAATCTAATATTTATATATCATAGGCTTATGGTCAAATGCATTTAATTTATACATCTAATTCAACTGAATATCACTTACTACTTCCATTTTAAACTTGCATTAAAAGGTATTTTTGACTGATGGTTTTCATCTCTTGCTTTCCGGCAATTTTTCACTGGAATTCCAGTCAACCCAAAACTTACCACAAATTAGGCATTTTATTTAACTTTTCCAGCCTCCAAAAACAATGAACAAAAGATGTCCAAAAGGCCAAAATAGGCCAAAATATCAGTCAGAGGTAATGTGACAATTTCTGATGCAACCACCTTGTCCAAAAAAGGAAATATTAGCAATAGGACATTGGGTCTTCCATACAAGGGGGAGGTCCCTTTCAGCAATAGTAGTTTTCTTTACGTCAGCAGACATTTCACCTGACAAACACAGGTATTTAACATCCTCAAGGTCTATCTAATCTGCCCAACTCTGCTAGATCTATGAGACAGAATGGTCAAAGGTCAAACTTACATGTGGTGGGCATCCTCAAACTGTGGCCCTCCAGCTGTTTGGGCCTCCAACTCCCAGAAGCTCTAACAAGCTTGTTCAAGTGTCAGGAATTCTGGGAGTTGAAGGCCCAAACAGCTGGAGGACCACAGGATGCCTGCTGTAAGAGGTTCCACCACTGTCTCTCTGAACCTGACCCCAACAGTCTCCTTATCATTCTGCTTAAAGGCACAAAGGATACTGTACTGTAGGCAAAGGAACACTTTTTTGCTGATCTCAGATGAAATGCCTCAATTTAAAACTCTTTGAAAGCTGCCTCACTGCAATCCGGTTTACATTACAGGATTCTAAGACACTCACCAGTTATCTGATGGACATTTGTAGCCTTCAAGCCCATGAGATCAGGTAGCTGGTCAATAATGATCTCCCTTTCTGCTGTCCGCTTGTGAACTCGCTCAATGCTTCGCCTTTGCCAGTCTGTCCAATAAATATAATCTCCCAAAAGTGTGAAGCCAAAGATATGAGGCAGCTTATCCTCCACAAGGACTCTCCTGTTCGTCCCATCTGCGTTCATCACCTTTAGGGGATCCAAGAGAAATAATAAACAAAAACACATGTATTCTGTGCTCAAAATAGTCATTTTTCAAACTGTGCACCTTAACAATGAAATGTAATGTCAACCTGTACACAATTTCTGATCTGGTCTCTTTGTTGTTAAGTACATGTGGTGGGAGATTCAATTACCCAATTGAGATGCAACTGAACTGCACACTCTCAGAAACTGTTGCAAGTGGTATCTCTGGTTAAACCACTATTCTGGGTTTCCTCTGCACAGTGACTTGAGTAGACAGCATCATCATCATATTTATTATACCCCACTTTATCTCTCCCGAACGAGACTCAAAGCGGCTAAACATAGAAGCACCAGCATATAATTTATAATTTAAAATATATAAACATTAAAACAGGATGAAATATAAACAGTATTAAAATATTCCCAGTTAAAGTCCATTAAAACATATTCAAAGTTAAAAACCACAGCAACCCCCGAGGTGATCTTTAAAAACTTCTTCTTTAAAAGCCTATCTAAATAAAAAGGTTTTAGCCTGCTTCTTTGGGAGGGGACAAAGTGTATACTTGGAATCAAAAAGACAGTTTAGATATTTCAGGTACTGGGCAGCATAGGACAAGCCAGGAGTGCACAAACGATCAAGTCACAATACTACTGTATAGTAGGAAGGAAATTACACAGCACCCTGATTCTATGATTCTAGGGCAAAAATGTAGCAGGGCAGCTTTTTCACTGAACTCCTGCCTCAAAGGAAAGAAGAAGACACTGTCTCTGCTGGACTTCATCCTTCTATCAACATCCCCCTTTCCTCTTATGTCATGTTGTAATTAGATTATAAGTCTGAAGGCAGAGAACTGTTGTAATCTTGTAAAGTGCCATATACAATGATGGTTCTGTATAACAAACTAAAGATGATGATGATGTCGACAACAGCAGCAACAATAACCCTGGCAGAAGTAAAGATGTGTCTTGTTAAAGATGAATTATCCATAAGGAAGGAGGGTGAAAATAAACTTGATGGTAAATGTGGGACAGATGTCTAAGAAAGAGCAGGGGTAGTCAACTCTGCAGGTTCAAGGACCAGTTTTCAGCCCTCCAAGAAGCAGGCGCTGAACAATGTGGTTAAAAAAACCAGATTCAACAGGCATAACAGAAACGTTGGGGAAAACAGAGAGAACCAGAAGGATACAGTAATTTTCTGGACACAAACTCGTATTGTGCATAATAGAAATATGTATTGGGAATTGTCATTTTTTTAAAATTGAAAAGGACACAGTGTAACAGACTTAAAACGTTACCAGATTCCTCCAAAACCTGTAACAGCCTAAGAAACTAAAACTAATTTATAACTGGAGACATATATCCAGAGTATTTGCAATTTCTCAAAACCAGCATAACAAACACAATAACAGACTAATACAACAGAGTACATGTATCCCACAATCACTGGAATGCCTCAGGTCAGGACAGTTAGCACCAAAACCAAGAATTCAGAACACAGTTAATGAGATGAGCCATGGAAGTTGTGGAAAGAAGGAAGCCTTCTTTAAGAAAATGCAAGTTTTGCCATAAGAATGTAAAGAATAAAAGGACCAATTTTAAAAATCATATTCAAGGAAATCCAATAAATGACAGTACAATAAAGATTTTATGTCAGTTCATCATCATGAACGCAATTGCAAGAAGCCACTATCCATAGATGCGTAATTATTGATAGCAGCTATATACCTGGCACAAGCTATCACACATCTCTGCAGTCATACAAATGTGCTGAATCTATGGTCTCACACTCCCACTTCCACATAACCTCATAACCCTATGCTCCTGTTTCTGCTGCTCTGTAATTTTTTAAAAATCAAATTTTAAAAGAAATGTTGCCATTACAATTATGATGTATCTACTTGGGTATGAATAATAATAATAATAATAATAATAATAATAATAATAATAATAATAATAATTTTCAAATATAACTTAGAAATTGTAAAACACTGTCTTGGGCATAGTGAGGAAACGGGAGAGGAAAGTGGGAGAAGGGGATAATCCTGTCACTTCAGTGCTGGCAATAAAGCAGAGTAGTCCCCTCACACTAAGTAGGTGACAGGAGTGAGGCACAATCTGCACCTATGTGCAACTATTATTGATGGGTTTTGCCCCTCAATAGCAGGAAGCTGGCTTATCACAGGGGTACACAGATAGGCACAAAATATTATGCGATGGAGTGATGGTCCTTCTTCTATGTTGGTTTGCCACCTTCAAGAGATGAATTCTTTAGGGGGAGCTTAAAAACGTGGTTGTTCCAGTGTACCTTTCCAGAATAAGGAAACTCTTAGCATTATGACCCAACGCTCTTTATCAGAGATCCAGGATATCTGCATGCCCATCCCCCTCCAAACACCCCACCTTGTCATGCCCAGCACTTTTAATTTTAATTTTAATTACTACACGTGGCCTGCCATTGTTTTTAATTGTGTCATTGGGTGTTGTTTAATGTTATTACTTTGTTTTTTGAGTTATTGTGTTGTTGTTGCTGCTGCTGTTTTAATTGCTGTATTTGGGCTCGGCCTCTTGTAAGCCGCACCGAGTCCTTCGGGAGATGGTAGCGGGGTACAAATAAAGGTTTATTATATATTAGTATTATTATAAATCCCACTACACATTTTAAAACGTTTTCTAAAAACATGCTTGCGATTTAAAGTGGTCCAGTTCACACTGTGTACTTAGCTTTTCATAGGGCTTACTGAAAAATTCCTAAATTGAAGCCTTTTGATAAGGCTTAACAATCACATGGGGGGAAAACATGACCTCTTACTGGCTGCTAAGTAGGACATTTTTCCCTTTTCTGCCCTCCAAGAATTAATACCACACTACGTCCATTAATTTGGAGAAATCACTATTTCTATTATGCACTGTCCATCAACTAATGAAACTTTAGTTAAATTATAGAAAATTACAATAAGTATACTACCAAGCAGTGATCATTCATTGCTTTGTATAATTCTTTATTTCAGAAGGGAATTAGGGGTATGAAAGACAGAACACTGTAAGAGGCACACTATTTCATTTACCTACAATTTAAAAAGATAAGCCCTTTACAACACAATCTAATACACATCTAGTCCAAAGTAGGCCTCCATGCGAGTGGAGATAAGTTTGCTAATTTAGTGAAATTTCTTTATCAAGTCACTTCGGCTGCATTGCTAAGACAATGAAAATGTCAATTCAGAAGAATATGACTGAACTTCAGGCCATGTCTTTCTCTTTCTCATTTCTTAGCTGTCTATCAAAACGGCTGTGGTATCTAAACTGTACCATGAGGTTAGCACCCTCTCATAAACCCAAAATAACAAACTCGCTTCAAACTCTGATTTAAGATTGTACCACCAACTGTAACTAGCCAGTTTGAATATAGGAACAAACATTGATTGGTGATAAACATTGGTTATGATTCTGTATACATTGAGCACTTGGGACAAATGTAACAGTGTGGATATTGTGATTTCCATATCTGTGCGGACAAGGAAGCACCATAATCTTCAGCTCACTGTGAAAGTTAACTCTCCAGTTGGCAAGTATGAGAGAGGCCAACATATTTGCTTGTGAACCATTGGAGAAATTAGGGGCCATATCTATAAATTTCTAAAAAAGTGAAACTGCCTGTGCAATTATCTTCTAGCTTAACTGAGAGGATTCTGGCCAAAAACAAAAACTCAGAGGAGGGGAAGAGAAAGCTCCAGATGAACGAACTGGGCCTGAGCATTGGAAGTCTTGATGTCTAAATTTGCTTGCTTGAAATTACACAAAAAATATTATCTCCCTGGGAAACTGTTCAACATCCAATATATTTAAGGGCTTATAAAAAAACATTTTAATATTCCATCCACCCCAAACCCTTAGTTCCTAACGCATCAGCCAAGACATTGTTTATTAACAGTCGCAAAAAGACTACTTATCCAATCCAAAGAAAATACACTTGAGGTTAGTTATAGTCCATGCTGGGATGTGTGTGTGTGTGACATTTTGAGAACTGCCTCTTAAGCCAGGATCTCAAGCACATATATTATATACGACGTTATTTGTGCATTTCAAAATAGACCAGCTCTCACATTACAATATTCAGTCGATTTGAATTATCTGTTTCGTCTACATTTTTCTCATAATACTTGCACATGGCCTGAATAAGCTAAGCAAGCTATAAACAATCCGTTCTCATTTTGGCAAGGAGTCAACTGCTCAGACCTATCAATTTTCATCCCTCTTTCAGAAAGCTTGTGGGGAAGGGGAGCAGAGGGTACAAAGTGTGTGCTTCAAGTTTTTACGATTCATAGCCTATGCCTCTGATATTGGGGGAGAGGTGTCCAAAGGCTACATAAAGTGTTTTCTAACTCCTTGATACCAGGGAAACAGTGGGGGAGCTGGTTAACTTAAAACAGGTATCACAATCCACTGTATCCCCCAAAAGAGACACCTTTATGCTCTATGATCAGCTCACAAAGCAAAGCAGAGCAAAAGAAAATGGCAAATGCCCAGTCCAATTTCCCTTGGCCCAGCTAGTTAAGGCTCAGGGATGAAAATGTGTTTTTAGGTGATGCTTTTTGAGAGCTGCCCACAGCTGCTGCTAGTGCTGCTGTTATTAATGTTGTGTACCTTCAAGTCATTTCTTACTCATGGCAACCCCAAGATAATCACAGGTAAAGATAAAGGTTTTCCCTTGATATTAAGTCCAGGCGTGTCCAACTTTGGGGCTTGGTGCTCATCTCCATTTTTAAGCTGAAGAGCCGCCATTGTCCGTAGACATCTCCATGGACATGTGGCCGGCATGACTGCATGGAGCACCGTTACCTTTCCACCAGAGTGGTACCTATTGATCTAATCATATCTGCATGTTTTCAAACTGCTAGGTTGGCAGAAGCTGGGACTAACAGCAGGAGCTCACCCGCTCCCCAGATTTGAACCACTGGCCTTTTGGTAAGAAAGTTCAGCAGCTTGGTGGTTTAAACCACTGC